TTGGGAAACAGGGGAAGCTGTGGGAGTGGGAGAATGTCCCAGGAAGGCTGCAGAGCAGCAAACTGATGCTCACCTGAACTCTGGAAACTATTACAACTGAAAGCACAGGCAGAAGGGAAAGAACTGAAATGTAATGGTCAAAATGCCAACAGCACTTAAAATCCTGGAGGTCAGGAAAAGGCTGGGATTGAGCCACTGCATTTGACCAGAGGCTGCTGGCAAGCACACGAGCAGTCTCCAGTGAGGACAACAGCCAGAAAACAGACAAAAGTCTGAGGATGGAGACGTTTCAATGACTTGGAGGAGCAAACACAGAGCAACAAGAAGGGAAAATGCAGAGTTAAGGTTAGATTTTAGGCCAGGTACGGTGGCTCATACCTGTAATCCCAGCACTTTGAGAGGCCAATCCAACACCTGAGGTCAGGAGTTACAGACTAGCCTGGCCAACATAGTGAAACCCTGTATCTACTAAAAATACAAAAATTAGCTGGGCATGGTGGCACGCACCTGTAATCCCAGCTACTCTAGAGGCAGAGGTCGCAATGAGCCAAGATTGCGCCACTGCACTCCAGCCTGGGTGACAACAAAACAAAACAAAACAAAACCTTGGGATTAACATTCCTTCTGACTTTGGTGTTTTGCAGCTGAGGTGACAGTGGACATGGAAATACAATAACAAAAAAAATCTGAGCCCGGACAATGTGGTGAAATCCCATCTCTATGAAAAAAAACCACACATGTAAGACACTTCACCTGCTTTCCATTCTAATTGAACGTATGTAACAGCCCTAACAGTGCCATATATGCAACAGGCACTCAAAAATGTCAGCAAAGATTGGTGATACATGGAAACTAGAATTCAAAGTGAACTTTTCTCAGAAAAGCCAGAGTACATAAAGTTGACAATTTCAATGTTAACACATTTCCAGGTTACACACACTTCAGAGAAAGTATCTTGGAGCTCCTTGCTTTCCATGAGGCCACTCAATGTCACCACCATGCTAAGGTCAACCAGCTTTAGCTGTAACTACCAAACCAACCAGTATGGGAGACCCTACTCTGATTCCCAATTAAGGCCTTCAGCCTGTTAACGTATAAGATGCAAAGAAAAACGTTGGTATAGTTTTCAAAACCAGGATAGAGAAAGTACACGGCCTCACATTCTTTTAACAGTACATTCATCCAAGTTTGAAATACACCGAACACCAGCCATGGCTTCTTTCACTGTGGAGATTCCTAGGGACTGGGATGCATTCAAGCCCCTCGCTACTGCACAAAACAAGAGGCCAGGCATGGTGGCTCATACTTGTCATCCCGGCACTCTGGGAGGCCAAAACTGGTGGATCACCTGCGGTTCGAGACCATCCTGGCCAGCATGGTGAAACCCCATCTCTACTAAAAAATACAAAAAATTGCCAGGCATCTACAATCCCAGCTGCTTGGGAGACTGAGGCACGAGAATCACTTGAACCCAGAAGAGGTTGCAGTGAGCCAAGATTGCACCACTGCACTCCAACCTGGGCACCAAGAATGAAACTCCATCTCAAAAAGTCAAGCATTCCTGGACATCACAGACATGTCCTACAGGCAAGATCTGATCCTGGTCCAACTGTGTACTTTCTACTAACCTGCCCAGTATATCTACTCATTGTCCTTTCATAGACTTTAATCTATTAAAAACACACAGCCTCTCTCTCCAGATTCTAGAAGAGTCTAGTCAGGGATAAATGTCCATAGCTAAGTAACCCTGGCCATCACCAATGCTGCATGGCAGACCTCTCTTTGCTAGGGCTGTTCAGATTTGAATCGCCCCACGATGCAGTCATTGGTTGGGGAGAAGACTTTGAGAGCACATTTCCAGTTCATCTGTTACATTTTACTTTGCTAACGGGGACCTTATTTTACTGCCCCAAATAAAAAGCCAGACATGAGGAATGTGAGCCAAAGATTTATTCATTTCTTGCATTTGAAGTACTCTTCGATAACATCCTTGGCCTGAGACTCCTTTCCATAGTCCTTAAAAAAAAAAAAAAAAAAAAATCACATGCCATTTCTTGTTAACATTTAGGAATTTCACCAAGTTATTATCATCAACTACAGCGGAGCTTCAACAATTAGCTACATCTTATAAATATGTTTCTCATCACTAAGATTTGTTATAGCCACTTTCAGGGACCTTAACGACTTCAATGTCCTTAAGGCTCGTAACATGGCTTTCCTATTGCCAGTTTTTAAAGTATATCTGCACAAACACAATCAGGTAAGCAGATTCATTGGCTGGCTTGTAAATTACAGCTTTTATTTTTTTTCTGAAATGCAGAAAATGCTTTAAACCTGTTGAATCCGTTTTTTCCTTTTTTAAGATCCTCAACTTAATTTCAATACAAGGTGTTATATGATTACCCAGCACAACCTTCATTCCTAAAATAAATGGTGACTTACCTTAACTACTACACAACTGCAACCAACCACTTTACGGGGCTTCCCCTCTCTGTCAATTTTACATAGGCCTACCCATTCTCCTAGTTTCTTGTTGTCATCAACCTATTGGGAGAAAATTTAAAAAAAAAAAAAAAAAATCACATTAATAGACATTAACACTACCAAAAATAAATTCAACCCAAAAGGTGGCTGTAGTCAGAAGGGTGACATGGCAGTTTCCTCATGGCAGTTCAGTAGAGGGAGCCAGTTGTCATCATGTACAGCACAAAGATCACCTACAAGCCTACTAATCTTTGTTGTATACCAACGTCAAAATTAGCATTCAATTCTGCAGGTATAAAATGCTTCTACCTACAATCATCTTTAAAATGGCCAACAATAATATCAGGTGCGCGTAACGTTTACAACTGCACAAAATGAAGAGCTTGAGACTTCACAAAATTGACCCTGGTATACAAGCATCACTGAACATTAGTCCCAACTCAATCCTTAGCAGCCTTACCTTAATTAGGTTGATCTGATGTTCAGCACAAAGGGCCTCCACCAACTTGACATACATAGGCTCATCACAGTTGGATGCAAGCACACAAAGATGAGCTTGGCGCCTGAAATTCAAATTACAATGAAAATGAAGCTAAAACTCAGATCCAAATCCATCATTCTTGCATTTCAGGAGAGTTATCTTTGCACTAACACTTGCAAAACATAAGCAGCAAACACATAAATGTGTACAAAATTGCCTGAGTCTGAAGAACCTGCTAGGGAGCACATACATCTTCAATTAACCTACAACTGGTCTTCAGTAAAACCTCTTTCCCTGACACACTGAATTGGTATTAAGGCATTTTTAAAACTTGTGCCCAAATCCCAATCATAATGGCTTTCTTGTAAGCCAGCTTCATATATCCTAAGAAACATGTGAAAAGCCGGGCGCCGAGGCTCACTCCCATAATCTCAGCACTTTGGGAGGACAAGGGGGGGCAGATGATCTGAGGTCAGGAGTTCCAGACCAGCCAGAAACCAACATGGCGAAACCCCATTTCTACTGAAAGTACAAAAACTAGCTGGGCGTGGTGGCATGTGCCTGTAATTCCAATAATTGCTTCAACCTGGTAGGTAAAGGTTGCAATGAGATCGCGCCACTGCACTCCAGCCTGGGCAACAGAGCGAGACTGTCTCAAAAGGAAAAAAAAAAAGCTGTGGCATTAATGAAACAGTTATGAAATGCCTTGCAATACTGCCGAAGTAGAATACATAAGATTCATACTAGAATCTACTAAACAATAATGCCGTTTCCATCGGATTCAACTAGCTAGATTACACCAAAACGAACTGAACTTGTCCTGTAAAACCTTAAAACTGCATTTAAATTCAGCTCAAGAGTACGTTGTCAATGCAACCACCATAAAAAACACATTAACTCGATCCATCCAAAATACATTAATAAACATCCCAAATTCAAATAAATCACAGGTATTCCTACACCTAGGACCAAATGCTTCTGAAACCTGAGTTTGAAATTCCATTAATGTAATGCTTGTTTTGCAAACTGCCAAACGTAATGTGGCTCTCCACCTCATCTGTCCGCCTAAGTATAAAACTGACTAGCCCCACAACCTACAGGTTTGTCAGACTCTTACATTTCACTCATAAAAGGAGTGAAGGGGTATCCGACAATTTAAGTCATCATCCAAACACTGTAGTTTTGAGTGCTTATCCCCATTCCAACAGCAACCCACACATTTTAAGTGGGCTTTATAGATCTAAGTTGTGATACCTTTTCCTAGGTTTCCTGTAGGACGGATGCCATTCAGAACTTTTGCGCTAACACCATGAACTCCACGCCTTCTTCCCTTGGGTGGCAGTTTTGTTCCGGTTGCAAGAACCCACAGTATTGAGACTGATACACGTACTTGTCTAAGGCTTTGGCAGCTTCGCGAATTCCACGTGCTAGGCCATCGTGGATGAGGGCGGTCTTCAGCACCTCTTGTAAAGCAGTATTAACGTCCATTACACCTCCAGCAGCAATGCTGAAACACGACACATCAGAACCATCAGTTAAAATCCTCACACCACATAAGGCCTTGAACTCAGAAAAGGCCTAAGTGTACAACAGATGCGCTTACGGCGACCCGTTCGACCCAGTCCTGCTCCGCCAACTCCAGGCCCACGCCTCAGCCGAAACCCGACCCCAACTCCAAACCCGGCCCCTGGACTCACCCTTCCTCGGCCATGGCGGTGGGTTACGGGTGAAGCGGAATCTTGAACGCACTGAAAAACAAAAGCATTGACCTGCTAGAGAACCAGATACTTATAACCAACCCCTGTAAAAACACAACGAGCCACGAATCACAACCAATACACCCCTGCCGCCTCGCTAAACTTACCCCAAGCCTCCGCCTCCGCGCGACTCCGCGGCGGCAGGGAAAGAGGCCTCATCAGCCCGCATGACGGTATTTAAGGGTTTTTCAGGCCCCCTGTGCGCATGTGCACTCCCACCCTCGAAAGAGGTGGCTCCCGCGGTGCCGGGCCTGGGGACTTTCTGTTTCCGGATTCAGGCTGTTCTGAGGCAAGAGTACTGCGAGTTTTCTGTGTCTGCCAGGCCAGTCCTTGGCGAGTGCAACAGGCACTACGTGGGCAGCTTCGCGTTGTCCTTCTTTGAGCGGGCGTGGCCCACCGAGGCCCAGGGAACTCATTCTACGGAGCGCGACAGCAGACAAACAAGTTGGTCCGCGTGGTCTTTAAGGCACCTGGAGCCTTGTATCCAGCCGAGCGCCAGTTTTAACCCTTTCCACACCACGTTCTACTTTCCCCGCGCTTCCACAAGACCCAGTCTTCCCAGGCAGCGCATTTTGTTCCTTCGCTCCTAAGTCACCCTGAGAGACCCCCATGATTGTGTCGTTGTGGGTGTGATCGTCATCTTTGTCTTCATGAAACGAGAACCAACATGCTTTCACTATTCCAGGCTGGAGTGCAACGGCGCGATCTCGGCTCACTGCAACCTCTGGCTCCCGGTTTCAAGCGATTCTCCTGCCTCAGCCTCCCGAGTAGCCGGAATTACAGGCGCCTGCCACCACGCCTGGCTAATTTTTTGTATTTTTAGTAAAGACGGGATTTTACCATGTCGGCCAGGCTGGTCTCGAACTCCTGACCTCAGGTGATCCTCCCGCCTCGGCCTCCCAAAGTGCTGGGATTACAGGCGTGAGCCACTGCCCCCGGCTGCTTCCACTATTTCTAAGCACTTTCCCTGCGGTGTGTTGGTAAAGGGGGACCCTGCAGTCAGGGGTTCAATTCTAGTTTCTAAATATAGGGGGAGTCGCTTCTGAACGAAGTTTGTTCTGCTTTGTTTGGTTTTTAAGAATGGATTGTGCTCGGAATACACAGTCCCGCGCAAATCAGAATTCCTTAGGTGCATTTTCAACACCTACAATGTGCCTGACGCAGGGCCAGGACTATAGACATGAAATATCCGGTCTTGGAGGAATCCATTTTCTTACGGGAAGCAACATTATAAATTTGGAAATGATTGACCATTCCCCAATCCCCACTTCCAAAGCAAACGCACGAAACACTACTGAATATGATCAATACTGCCTTTGTGTTTAATTTCCTCTCCTGAGTAGTCAGCCGCCAATCCAGTGAGCAATTATTAGGCGCTTGGCACGTGCCAGCGCTGTGAATCCAGTGAACAGATAGTGTTAGACTGGTGAGTGCGGCGAAAAAAACAAAACTGGATAACGCGGTAAGAGCGCCAGGGAGTTCATCATAACAGAGACCTGCTGTAATGTTAATAAACTGATAGAGTTCAGTTTTAGATTTTCCGTTGGTTTCAGTTTCATTTTTAAAGCGTTCAAGCTGCTTCTCTGTCAGTAACTCAGGCAAATGTTTATTGAGCTTTTGATTAAAAAAAAGAAAACGCGGAATTTATAAAGATAAGGATTCATTCCTGCTGCCCTGGTTTGTTTGTGGTGGGAATAAGATTTGAGACAAAAATCAGAATACCTCAGGGCCACAGAGGAGATAAAAGTGACAGGGGGTTAGGGAGTGGGGGATGGTGTGGAAAGGTAAGAAGAGGACCTCAGGCTTCTGGCAGCAAAACAAAAACTAAGGGATTCCAAATCGGCGAGCATGGAAGGAGAGGACACGGTATTCTAAATGGATGAAAGTGTAGGGGCAAAGGCGTGAAGGCCTTCTTGCCTATTTTGGAGGTTATAGTTAACACGTTTGTATTTTTTAAGGAGAATGTGGCAAATAATCTTTCAGCATATTTCTTATTATCTAAAGATAGTAAAGTTAATATGCTAAGCATATTAGATTCCTTCCCCAAAAAAGTTTTTAAGGAAGAAGCAGGGAATTTGGGAAACCTAAATGTGAAAAAAATCACTGGCAAACAGCATATTTACATGGGGGGAAATGATCAAGTGTCTTGTTAGCTAAAGCAGTTGTTCCCAGTACCAGCCAACTCAGACTTGGTCTCTATCTTTTAGCAGCTGCTAATCTGTTCTGTTGACTCAGACATCGTGGATCTCTGCTTTAATATCTCACTGCACTAAATGTCCTTTCACACAAACCTCCCTCCTTAGACCTGGAGCTACATTTTTTTTTAAGTCCTACTTATAAAACCAGCTCTAACCCCCAAAATGAAGTCAAAGGGCACACTGGTGATACAGGGGTTCTTTAATATAGATTTTCCTAGTTCACTGTTTTTTTTTTTTTTTTTTTTTTTTGAGATGGAGTTTTGTTCTTGTCACCCAGGCTGGAGTGCAGTGGCGGGATCTTAGCTCACTCCAACCTCTGACTCCCGGGTTCCAGCGATTCTCCTGCCTCAGCCTCCCGAGTAGCTAGAATTACAGGCACCCACCGCTATGCCTGGCTAAGTTTTGTATTTTTAGTAGAAACAGGGGTTTCACCATGTTGGCCAGGCTAGTCTCGAACTCCTGACCTTGGTTGATCCGCCCACCTTGGCCTCCCAAAGTGCGGGGATTACAGGTGTGAGTCACTGCGCCCAACCTCCTAGTTCACATTTTTAAGGTTACCTCCTCTCAATTTCTGAGACTGGTAAAGGTGGGAGACTACACAGAGGTTAGTGACTGGTCACTCTTATACCAGCAGAGTATAACACATCATGTGCACAAATATGAATCTGACACACATATGGAAACCAAATGTATTCTAAAGTTTGTTTTAGGAACAATACTGATAGTAACAGGTAACTTGTTTCACTTTTTCTATATGCCAGGTAAGGTGCTAAATTCTTTTCAGGCATTTTTCCCCTTTATTGTTATAGAGACTGTATCTGGTAGTGATGGTATTAGCCCACTTTAACAGGTCAGGAAGCCAAGGTTTAGGTAGTTGCCCAAGATCACACAGCTAATAAATGTGGAAGCTGGTATTTAAGCTCAGTGGACTTCAAAGCCTGTGCTCCTAACCCTTCAGTCATTTGATTGATTGCCAGAATGTGGAAAGGAGATTGCTGAGAATTCAAAAATTACTCTTTTCATCTCTGGTTTGGCAACAGTACAACTGGTTCTATCCCGCTGTGCTAAAAACTATATAGATGGACGAAGGGAATATTGCTGTTAGGCAGAAAAATTTGCATTTGGATTTTTGAATTATCTAAGTGTAAATGTGTAGTTTACTAGGGCTGCCATAACAAAGTACCACAAACTGGGTGGCTTAACCAACAGAAATCTATTATCTCATAGTCCTGAAGGCTGGAAGTCTGAAGTCAAAGTGTTGGGTGAGTTGGTTCCTTCTGTGGGTGTGAGGAAGAATCCATTTCACGCCTCTTTCCTAGCTTCTGGAAGTTTGTTGGCAATCTTGGTGTTCCTTGACTTGTGTTAGCATAACTCCAATCTTTGCATGATGTTCTTCCTGTGTGCATGTCTGAGTTTGCGTCCGAATGTTTCCTTTTTATAAGAATATCAGCCATATTGGATTAGGGGCCCACCTGCTCCAGTATGACCTCCTCTTAACTGATTACATCTCCAACAAACCTATTCCAAATCAGGTCTTATTCTGAAGTAGAAGGTGTTAGGATTTCAACATGTGAATTTTGAGGGAACACAGTTCAACTCATAACAGATGACAAAGAAGGAGGAGATATAGAATGATCAAATGAAAGAAAGCATTTTTGAAATGAACTGCAAAAAAACTTACTTGGAAGACCAGAGCTGGAGAGAAAAACCGGGCTGAGACATAATCATGATTTTATATCATGGAGTGGTCAGGAGGACCCAACTGTGCAGGGTTAAAATTCCAGCTTACTTTGTGACCTTTGGCAAGTTATTTTCTTTCTGAGCTAGTAAAATGGTGGTAATGCTATAATATTTCTGTGAGGATTAAATGAGATAGGCATTTAAAGTGTTTACCACTATGCCTGTAAAGTAATTTACCTTATAAAGAACTTCACATGAAAATACATGGAAAGGTTCTTAAATATTACCTTTCTCCTGTCCGAAACCATCCAGCACTTAGTACAGTGAATTGCATATTGGAGGCTAAACACATGTGTACTGAATGAATTCACTGAGTGAAATAAGATTAAAGAAACCTCCTGGGGCCAGGTGCTGTGGCTCAGCCTGTAATCCCAGCACTTTGGGAGGCTGAGGCGGGCGGGTCACGGGGTCAGGAGTTTGAGACCAGTCTGGCCAACGTGGTGAAACCCTGTCTCTACTAAAAATACAAAAATTAGCCAGGTGTGGTGGCAGGCGCCTGTAATCCTGGCTACTCAGGAGGCTGAGGCAGGAGAATCGCTTGAACCCAGGAGGCGGAGGTTACAGTGAGCAGAGATCACACCATTGCACTCCAGCCTGGGCCACAGAGCAAAACTCCGTCTCAAAAAAAATAAACAAAATTTTAAAAAGCCTCTTGAGTAGATGTCATACTTAAAGGAAAGCCATGTTGAGGACTACCGTAATAAATTAGCATCTGTTGTGAGTTAGTTGGAAGCTTTGAGCATCCCAGGAAATCACTTTTAATTTGAAAACTTCAAGTGTCCCTACCTTTGGGGTAGGGAGTAGAAACTAAATACAATGGATGAGTGATAAGAAATAGGAGAAAAAATTAAAACATACTCTACTGCTGCAACTCAGGAACATATAGGCTTAACTCTCATTTATTATACCATGTAGTTTTAAACATAATGAAGAAAAATTAGTCATAGCTGAAGAAAGATTTGAATAGAATCCCATTACATCGAAGGAAGAATTAAAGGAAAAAGAGAAGTAGCAAAGAGAGAAAAAAACAGAAAATAAGAAAGCAGATGGATTAGCAAGAGTAGAATAGACTAATAAAGGCTGTCGGTAGTAGCTTGTAAAGTTAACATGTTTATTAAGTGAAAACAAGGTTGTAGGGGAGAATGGGGTTAGATGATTATATAGCTAAGTATGAAGCCTGTGCCAATAGCTTATATTTTTGGAGGGTTTTGTGTAATTATCATCTAAGTTTTCACAAGTCTTAGTAAGAATATATCTTCACATGCTTGTTTTGTAGTTTTTATCTGGTGGTTTTTTTTCTTTCTTTCTTTAGAAACAGCATCTTGCTCTGTTGCACAGGCCGATCTTGAACTCCACTGTGCCCAACCATCCACTTTTTTTTTTTTTTTTTGCTACCAGATGTTACCCAGAACTCTTGGGTACTGTAACAGCACACTACAGGGCTGACTTAGAGTTCAAGGAAACTAAACAAACATACTATGGAATATAATTAGAGATAATACTTCATAAGTATTATCCCGTGTAGCTGGGATTACAGGCGCGTGCCACCAAACCTGGCTGATTTTTATAAATAAACTAATTATAAACCAACTACACAGTTTTATTTTTTTTTGTTTTTGTTTTTTGTTTTTGAGATAGAGCCTCACTTTGTCGTCCAGGCTGGAGTGTAGTGGCACGATCTCGGCTCACTGCAACTTCCGCCTCCCGGGTTCAAGCAATTCTCCTGCCTCAGACTCTCGGGTAGCTGGGATTACAGGCACCTGCCACCACGCCTGGCTAATTTTTGTATTTTTAGTAGAGATAGGGTTTCACCACATTGGCCAGGCTGGTCTCAAACTCCTGACCTCAGATGATCCACCCGAATCAGCCTCCCAAAGTGCTGGGATTACAGGCATGAGCCACTGCACCTGGCCACTACACAGTAATTTATAAATGAAATAAAGAGTAGTGGCGGGTAGAGCAAAGCTTAAATTAACATTAAATTGATTCCCTTAGGATACAAAGAGGGCTTGTGTGGTTGAGACTCCAGCCCTCTCTGCTGCTTCCTCTGCTGTTATCTGTGCAACGTTTCTTTTGAAAATGGGTCCTGATGCTCTAAAATGTATTTGATGCCTGCACTTCTTATTAGGGAATCATTATAATGAAGTCAGTACCACTCCTATCCTTATAACTGAAACTACATTAAAAAAAAAAAAAGTCCTATTTTTATAACTGGTTCTAACACTACAAATGAATGTGAAGGGCAGACTGGTGATTCCAGGACTCGATGTAGATCCTCCTCTCTACCATTTTCTGACTCTGTAGCCTTGGTCAAGAGACTTCCAATCTCTGGATCTCAGGTACTTCATCTGCAAAATGAAGTAGGCAATTATACGAGATCCCTTTAAGCACTTTTTCGGTTTCAGTATTCTACATCATTATTTTCAAACAATTTTCACTGTTAGTAAATGTTGAACATCTATGCTGTCTGCTATATTAGTTTTCTGATTTCACTTGACTTTATCCACATGACTATGAGCTGTAGTTAATGCCCGCTTCCCTCCTATGTCTCCAACTTACAGATGATGTCTTCATTTGTAAATAACAGCTATTGCTTTTTAAATATTAGAATAAGTAAGCATGTTCATTGTAGGAGATTTGAATAATACTGTGTCAGTGATAATTCTTTCCAAGCAGCAGAATGAGCTGTGGCCAACATTTTAAAATGAATTTGTTGGAAATGTACTGGATGGCCCAGAGAATAGAACAGTTTGTTTGAGCAGCCAGGTCTAGGGAATAGTAAGAATAGAACGGTTTGTTTGAGCAGTCAGGTCGAGGGAATGGTAGGAATGTAATAGTTCCAGGGGTCTCGGTTATAGGACCTCATCAAAAGTCTCTTAAGGCAGTGCTTTACAAAATGACTATCTATCTGAGGATTTTTCACTCAATTCATCACAGATTATTAGTTTAATAAAATACAACAAATATTAATTAGTAGGAGGTTCTGCAAGACTATCCTTCTTGCAGATAACTAATGTAACTCTGAAAATGTATCAAAACAAAAAATAACTACCTGAAGACACTGGAGAGTGACGGAATTTGGGGATAGATGTGGGGACCAACACTGAGAGGAAGGAATGACACTGGCTTATTTTCCATTTTTATGAGTGTTAGCATGAGGACACCCTTAGTCAGTGCTACATGGAACAACTAATAGAGTTCCTCAGTTGTAATACCTTAAAAACCAGAGAACAGAGTTGTATTAGTCAGGGTTCTCTAGAAGGACAGAACTAATGGAATATATATATTTTTATATATATATAAAAATATAACATTATATATTGCATTTTATATGTTGTGCATGTTATATATTATATATGTTATATATTATATTTTATATGTTATATATGTATATAACATATAAAATATTATATATATATTTTGTATATATATGTATATTTTTTGAGACAGAGTTTTGCTCTGTTGCCCAGATTGGAGTACAATGGCATGATCTCAGCTCACTGCAACTTCTGCCTCCTGGGTTCAGGCGATTCTCCTGCTTCAGCGTCCTGAGTAGCTGGGATTACAGGCATGCACCACCATGCCTGGCTAATTTTTATATTTTTAGTAGAGACGGGGTTTCACCATGTTGGCCAGGCTGCTCTCAAACTTCTGACCTCAGATGATCTCCCCACCTCAGACTCCCAAAGTGCTGGGATTACAGGCGTGAGCCACCGCACCCGAACCATATATATAAGGGGAGTTTATTAAGTATTAACTTACACAATCACAGTGTCCCACAATAGGCCATCTGCAGGTTGAGGAGCAAGGAGAACCAATCCGAGTCCCAAAACTGAAGAACTTGGAGTCCAATGTTCAAGGGCAGGAAGCATCCAGCATGGAAGAAAGATATAGGCCGAGAGGCTAGGCCAGTTTCTCTTTTCACATTTTCTAACTGCTTATATTCTAGCCAGACTGGCAGCTGATTAGATGATGCCCACCCAGATTAATGGTGGGTCTGCCTTTCCCGGCCCACTGACTCAAATGTTAATCTCCTTTGGCAACACCCTCACAGACACACCCAGGATCAATACTTTGTATCCTTCAAGCCAATCAAGTTGACACCCAGTATTATCCATCACAAGAGTTTAGAATAACCATGGCACTGGAAATTGAAGAAAGTGGGGAAATCCTAGAAAGGAGAGAGCCAGAGAGGGGAAAACCAGAATTTTCCATGTATACTCTGCCTCAATCTCTGGCTGAACCCTGAACTACACATACATAGGGTAGCACGGTGGCTTATGCCTGTAATCCCAGCACTTTGGGAAGCTGAGGCAGGTGGATCATAAGGTCAGGAGTTCAACTTGATTAAACTTGGTTAACCAATTGAACTCCTGACTAACTTGGTTAAACTCCCTCTCTACTAAAAATACAATATTAGTTGGGCATGGTGGAGCATTTCTGTAATCTCAGCTACTCAGGAGGCTGAGACAGGAGAAGCGTTTAAAACCTGGAAGGCGGAGGTTGCAGTGAACTGAGGTCACGCCACCGCACTCCAGCCTGGGCAACAAGAGCGAAACTCCATCTCAAAGAAAAAAAAAAGAGAGAGAGAGAGAGAAAGAAAATAATATTCAAAACCTTCCCAAATTTGGTGAAACACATAAATTCAGATTCAAGAAGCCCAGTGAACCCCAAGAAGAATAAATACACACAGGTATACACACCTGGGCATATCATAAGTGAGATATTAAAACTCAAAGATAAAATTACAGTAGTATTTGGGGGAAAAAAGACATATACAGGAAACCAATAATACAAAATTCAACTAATTTCTCTCAAAAGATAGGAGCCAAATGATAACAGAATCACATCTTGAAAGGGCTGAAAGACAACTTTTTACCCATATTTCTATATTCAATAAAAGGCCCTTCCAGAACGAAGACAAAATGATGACATTCAGAGCTAAACAAAAACTAACAGAACTAATCACCAGAAGATTCATACTTGAAGAAATGTTACAGAAAGTTATTCATGTTGAAGAAAAATGATACCTGATGGAAAATTTAGATGTTCCAGAAGGAATGAAGATCACTGAAAATGGTCAATATGTGAGTAAATTTCAGAATATTTTTCTTTTTGATTAAACAGTACATATGGCTAAAGTAAAAATTATAATATTGCATGATGAACTTTGTGTCTTCATAGATATAATCCGTATGACAACTAAGAATGAAGGATGAAGGGAGAAGAGGTGGCTGCTGGGTAAGGCCGTCTCTATGAGTCTAACAATCTGCAAGGTTCTTACATTTTACATGAAGTGCTGCAATATTAGCTCTAAGTGGACCAGGAGAGTTAAGAATGTGTATATTGTAATCCCTAAGCAACGACTAAAAATAGTTGAAATATAGTTAAAATGATAACATATAAATTGCAATGGAATTTCAAAATATTTTTTTCCCAAATAAGCCAAAATAAGGTTAAAAAAAAAAAAAAGAAACAAATGAATAAAAAACAGATGGGAAGATATAAGACAAATAGTAAAATGGTAGACGTAAACCCAATCCCATCAATACTTACCTTATATGTAAGTAGACTATCTTCTCAAATTAATACATGTTAATACTGGAGGAGGGGAAGTTTTTGACTTGTTTTATGAGTGCAGAATTACTTACTACCAAAGCCTGACAAAAGAAAATAAAAAGAAATTACAGATCAACATTACTCATAAGCGTACACAAAAAAATCTTTAACGGCCGGGCGCCGGTGGCTCACGCCTGTAATCCCTGCACTTTGGGAGGCCGAGGCGGGCGGATCACGAGGTCAGGAGATCGAGACCATCCTGGCTAACACGGTGAAACCCCGTCTCTACTAAAATACAAAAAAATTAGCCGGGCACGGTGGCGGGCGCCTGTAGTCCCAGCTACTCAGGAGGCTGAGGCAGGAGAATGGCACGAACCCGGGAGCGGAGCTTGCAGTGAGCCGAGATGGTGCCACTGCACTCCAGCCTGGGCGACAGAGTGAAGACTCCGCCTCAAAAAAAAAAAAAAAAAAAAAAAATCTTTAACAAAATATTAGCAAATTTATCCAGCAATATATAAAAAAGAGACTACTTCTTGACCAAGCAAGATTTATCTCAAGAATGCAAGGTTAACATTAGACAATTAACCTTAGACAATTGATCAGTGTAATTTAATATATTAACAGAATAAAGAAGAAAAATCATGTACAGTAGACGCAGAAGTACTATTGGATAAAATTTAACACAAATTCATTTTAAAATTTCTCAACACATTAGGAATAGAAGATAGCATCCTTAATCCTCTGAAAGGCGCATGTGAAAAATCTACAGCTAACTTCGTACTTTATAGTGGAAGACCAAGTGTTTTTCCTGTGAGATTGGGAACAAAGTGAGGCTGTCATTCCCACCACATTTATTCACCATTTTACTGGGCATCCTAGTGAGTGCAATAGAATAAGTGAAAGAAACAAAAGCGTACATTTCAAAAAGGAAGAAGTAAAACTCTATTCACAGATGGCATAATTGTTTATGTAGAAAATCTAATAGAATCTACACAACAATGACTAGAACTAATTAGGGAATTTAGCAAGATTGCAGGATACCATATTCATACAAAAGTTCATTTACTTTTATATATAATTAGCAAATTGTTGGAAATTTAAATGTAAAAATACCATTTTTAGTAGCTTCTAAAACTAAGGTATTTTGGAATAAATTTAACATGAAGCATGTAATACCTACACCATGAAAAATGTGAAAATGTTATGAAAGAAATATCTTTATAATTGGAGAGATATACTGTGTTCATGGATTAAAAGCTTAATAGTGATTCAATATCAGTTCTCCCCAAATTGATACATGGAGTAAAAAAAATACCAGTAAGAATTCCACCAGGTTGTTTGGAGAATATGAGAGCTAATTGTGACATTTCTCTAGAAATTCAAAGTAACCAAAATATTCAAACCACTCTTGAAAAGAAGAACGTAGTTGGACACTTTTTACTGCCTGACTTCAAACATGTCGGGTCTTGATATGCAATGGAAGCAAGTGAGTGGAAGAAGCCAGCACCACCTAAAACCTCTTCTGGTGAGAGTGGCAGCATTCTTGAGGAGTGGGGATGATATTCTAACTACAATGTCTTATACCTGGCTCCAGTGGTATTGGCAGCATGTGCTGGAGATGTACGTCCAGCAGGGTTGCAGTGCTATGCACACTGGACCACTTAGGTGGTGTGACTTTAGGCACTTAGCCTCTAAGTGGTATGCGTGATCCTCCTGATGATACTATGTGTTACCTAATAATCAATGATAAATTCATTTTCTGCTTAAATTAGCCAATGTTGCTTTTTTAAATTAGCAACAGAGAACCCTGACTGATAGAAGTGCTAGGAAGAAAAATAGAAAGGTGAAAGGACAAAGGATGACTGGGGCTGTATTTGGATAAGGGGATAAGAATGAATTTCTTAGCTGGGCACCGTGGCTCACGCCTGTAATCCCAGCACTTTGGGAGGCTGAGGCAGGTGGATTACCCGAGGTCGAGAGTTCAAGACCAGGCTGACCAACATGGAGAAACCCCATCTCTATTAAAAATACAAAATTAGCCAGACATGGTGGCACATGCCTGTAGTCCCAGCTACTCGGGAAGCTGAGGCAGGAGAACCACTTGAACCCAGGAGGCGGAGGTTGCCGTGAGCCAAGATGGCACCATTGCTCTCCAGCCTGGGCAACAAGAGTGAAACTCCATCTCAAAGAAAAAAAAAAAAAGAATGAATGTCTTGGTCAGGTGTGGTGGCTCACGGCAGTAATCAGTAATCACAGCACTTTGGGGAACCAGGGCAGATGGATTGCCTGAGTCCAGGAGTTTGACACCAACCTGGGCAACATGGTGAAACCTCGTCTCTATTATTAAATAAATAAATAATAAAGATTGAATTTCTCTGAGGAGGTGGCATTTAAACAAAGACTATATTACTCCGTTTTAGTTTGTAAAGAAAAAAATACTCTATATGTGTATATATGTCTATGAATAGATAATTGTGGTAGGCTGATAATGGATTCCAAAGATACATCCACATCCTAATCCCTGAAGCCTGTAAATGTTACTTTATATGAAAAAAAGGGTCTGTGCAGATGTGATTAAATTGGAGAACTTGAGATGAAGAGATCATCCTGGATTATCCAGGTGGGCCCTAAATTCATTCAAAATATCCTTACAAGAGACTGGCAAACGAAGATGACACACAGAAGAGAAGAGGCACAGTGATCCCAGAGACAGAGATTAGGGTGATGCAGCACAAAATGCCAATAGTCACTAGAAGCTTCAAGGGGCAAGAAACAGACTCTTCCCTAGAGCCTCTAGAGGGAACATGATCCTGCTGACACCTGATTTTGGCTCAGTGAAACTGATGTTGAACTTCTGGCCTCCAGGACCTTGTTCTAAGCTACCCAATTTGTGGTGATTTGTACAGCAGCCCCAGAAAACGAACACAGTAATAATATTTGATTATAAAATTGATGATCTGAAGGGAGAATGACAGGTAGAGATTAGAGGAAGAGAGGAGGATAGGGATATGAATAGCCTTGATGTAAATTAAAAATAGATGGACACATAAGAACACAGATTCTTTTTGAGAACATAAAGAACAAGATTTGCATTAAACGTGCAAGAATGATTGCAAATGGGGAGAGGAATGAGAATGGAGATACAAGGAAATAGATGGCAACAGAAATGAAACATTCAGTTGGCAAGATACAGTTGGCAAGATTCGGTTGGCAAAAATTCAGATGGCAAGGTACAATTAGGGATACTTCCTATAAGATGGAGGGGAAAAAAAAGAAAAAATAATAACTAGACAGGCGTGGCGGCACATACCTATAGTCCCACCTACTCAGGAGGCTGAAGTGGGAGGATCAGTTGAGCCCAGGAGGTTGAGGCTGCAGAGAGCCATGATAGTGTCATGGTAGTGGTAGCTTGGGCAACAGAGTGAGACCCTGTCTAAAAAAAAAAAAAAAAAAAAAGAGAGAGAGAGAGAGAAGAAAAAGGGAAATAAGAGGACCAGTTTGGGTGACCCAATATCCACATAAAGCACAGTCCAGAAAGAAAATAAAAGAGGAAATGTAATCATCAAATAAATCGTTCAAGAAAATTTCCCTCTACAGATGTTAGATTGAAGAGAAAGCATAGAGTTAAATGAGATTGGAGAAACTGTCAGGGGTTAGATCATAAAGATTTCACAAGGCTACTTTAGGGAACCTTTGCTAGAGTGAAACTTTTCTTTTCTCTTTTCTTTTCTTTTTTCTTTTCTCTTCTTTTCTTTTAGACAGGGTCTTGCTCTGTTGCCAGGCTGGAGTGCAGTGGTGTGATCTCGGCTCACTGCAACCTCCACCTCCTGGGTTCAAGCGATTCCACTGCCTCAGCCTCCTGAGTACCTGGGACTACAGGCGTGTAACACCACGCTGGCTAATTTTTTGTATTTTAGTAGAGATGGGGTTTCACCATGTTGGCCAGGATGGTCTCGATCTCCTGACCTCGTGATCTGCCCACCTGGGCCTCCCAAAGTGCTGGGATTACAGGTATGAGTCACCACGCCCAGCCTAGAGTGGAACTTTCTGTTCAGAGTGGTTCTCTAGGTTCTCCTTCACAACTCGCCCACTGGGGAATTTTTACATAACCTTCAAGAACCAAGGTAACATCACTTCCTCAGGAAGTCATCCAGGACCCATTTGCCAAAGTAAATGGTTCTTGCAATATGTTTATATACAACCGATTGCATTATAATAGATTATTAGTGTGAATTTCATCTGCTAGAAGGTATGCTACTTGAGGGCAGAGTCTGGATGGGTTCATTCATCTTTAAATTGATAATGCCTGGCACAAAGTGCTAATTCAGTCTTTTGTTTTGGTTTGGCTTCAAATCAAGAATTTCCCAGTCCTTAAACTTCTTTTTATTTATTTATTTAAGAAGGAGTTTCACTTTTTCACCCAGGCTGGAGTGAAGAGGCCCAGTAATTACAAATTTACTATCCACCATCCCATGTATTGGAATCAACCTTGTACAGTGGATCTGAGGCAGATTCTCAGTTGATAAAGCCACCCTCACACAATTCTTTGGGATCTTGCCTCACTGTAACCTCTGCCTCAAATGATTCTCCTGCCTCATCCTCCTGAGTAGCTGGGATTACAGGTACCCGCCACCACGCCCAGCTTTTTTTTTTTTTTTTTTTTTTTTTTTGTAGTTTTAGTAGAGACAGAGTTTCACCATGTTGACCAGGCTGGTCTAGAACTCCTGACCTCAGGTGATCTGCCCACCTTGGCCTCCCAAAGTGCTGGGATTACAGGCATGAGCCACTGCGCCCAGCTAGTCCTAGTCCTCAAGATTTAACACTTCCCAAATGGTAAAAAAGGTGAAAATAAGTGAAACCTATTTTTTGTGCAAGAAAACTGTGAGTGTGAGAGTAAGGTAGTAGCCATCATGTTCATGTGCTAGCTACTAACACACTTTATCGCCAATGCTCACAGCCACTCTACAAGATAAACATTATAATCTCAGTTGTACAGATAGAGAAACTGACCTTGTCATCCAAAGTTACACACAGCCAGTAAGTGCTCTGACTTGAAACCCCGGCACCTACCTCCAGAGGTCGCACTCCTAGCCACTTCACCATGCTTCGTTAGTATTCTTGCAAATATTTTTCGACTACAGGTGCTTCATATTGGTTAATTCATTTCCAGTTCAATAGTGTCTGGCTTCAATAATTACGAACACTACCGCATTTACCCACTGTGAAAAATAATTCACTCTTTCAAAGGTCCTGTATAAACCTAATTTTCTAATTCACTTTTGTGTCTTTCAGTTGACGTACTCCCTACCTTTTCTGTTTCTACGTAAGCTTCCTTTCTTTCGTTTCGTAGGAATAAATTGAACTTATTTTAAGATAGAGGGGGGTACAACTGTATGGAATATAGATTCATCTTTTTTCACTCTCTCTCTCTCACAGAATGAAAAAGGACACCATGATATAGCAGCTGAGGTGGTGGATTAAGATAATGGGGGGGGCAAAAAAAAAAAAAAAAAAAAAGGAGCCTTGCTCCACCCCTGCCCCGCCCCCGGCCGCCTCCGGGGGACGCAGAGTCCTGGAAGGCTTTGCGGAGCTCCGGGCTGGGCGGATCGCTGCCCACAGGGAGTCGGGAATGCCAGGTTCCAGCTGAGCAGCGGTCGCCCGCCGGAGTGCCAGTGGCTCCTTGGAGGTCGAGTCCAAGGACGTGGCTTGAACTCGGGAGGTGGGGCTCAGGACTCCACGCACCAGGGATGGACGCGCCGGGTGACCTGGAGGGCCCACGCGCACCAGGAGGTGACCATGAATTGAGTGGCCGGGAGCCCGGAGCCCAGCGGCGGCTTCGGGCCTGTCTCTTTAGCAACGACTGAATTGCTTTTAGCTTGATTCGTTTCCGAGAGATTGGAAAAGGCTGGGGCCTGATCGTGGGGTTCGGGCCAGCGTTTCTTTTCTCTCTGGACGGGGCAAAGTTCCAGGACTGGATGTGTGTCACGGTATCTAATGACATTCTAACCTATGCCTCTGCTTTTAAGTACTGTGTGTTTAATGCATTCAAATAAGTATGCCATTAGGCAAATGTAAAACGTTACCTTTCAAGTACCCAGTGTTGTTGCCTTTGTTTTTAACTTTCATTTCCCTTTCTCATCTACTACAAACAATTTACAAAGATTCATAAGACTTCCTCATATTGCACAGATTTTTTTTCCCCTTCTGGACTGCAATGGCAACCTCTGACAAATAGAGCAAAGCAAATATATTTTTCTTAAGTTTTTCCTAAAAACAGTTTAATTTATAAGTGGCTGATAGATTTGCTTGGATATTTGGAACTCTGAGTAATTGATTTAGTGTTTTTAAATGACAATTTAGCCCTGGAAATGTGTTAAATTAGCTGATGCAAAAGACTAGTAATTAGGGTAAGAAAAGTATTGATTTGTGAATTTTGGGACTTGTCTATCCAGAAGCATACCATTGTAAACATTAATTCACCAGCTGAATGATTTCGCTTATTTTCTCCTATTTACACTTCATTTGACTTCAATATTGCCTTAGAAATCTTTGTGGGTTTTTTGTTTGTTTGTTTATTTGTTTGTTGGTACAGAGTCTCCCTCTGTTGCCCAGGCTGGAGTGCAGTAGCGGGATCTCCGCTCACTGCAAGCTCGGCCTCCCGGGTTCACGCCATACTCCTGTCTTAGCTTCCCGAGTAGCTGGGAGTACAGGTGCCCGCCACCACGTGCCCAGCTAATTTTTTTGTATTTTTAGTACAGACCGGGTTTCACCGTGTTAGCCAGGATGGTCTCTATCTCCTGACCTCATGATCCGCCTGCTTCGGCCTCCCAAAGTGCTGTGATTACAGGCGTGAGCCACTGCGCCCGGCCAGAAATCTTAATAAGTTAACATTACATGCTTGAAACATTGAGTTCATGTAGCATATGATTCAAGTAACTTGAGAAAATAAGGACATTATGCTTCAGAGAGCATCACCCTTTGGAGATCACCCTGCCACCTCATCTTTCTTGAAGGGTTATTAAAGACCAGAGAAACAGACTTCAAAGTGAAGGTGAAACAGATCAGATAGCTTGATGATTTCTGCATTTAAATTCTAGTAAAGAATAGTATGTAAATAAAAGCAGTATGTTTTCAAAACTGCAGTAATGTACAAGGATTGTGTTCCATTTGATCAAATGTGCTATATTCAAAATAGCCCTAAGCTCAGCAAATGATATCTTCAGAGTGCAACATATGTGCACAGAAATCACATTTGTGTATTTTGATCAGTAGTCTCAATTATATACCTAATTGCTGCATGTTTGCATTCAAGGTGATGATCCTGCAGGAAGTGCAGGAGAGACTTCCAGGTGGCTTTCGAGAGAACAGGTTTTTGTACTGATATCGGCAGCTTCGATGAACTTAGGTTCCATGATGTGCTATTCTATACTTGGACCCTTTTTCCCCAAGGAGGTAAGACATTTTTAAATCCTTAGTGTGGGGAAAAGAAAGAGATCAGACTGTTACTGTGTCTATATAGAAAGAAGTAGACATAAGAGACTCCATTTTGTTCTGTATTTGAGATGCCGTTAATCTGTGACCCTACCCCCATCCTTGTCCTTGGAAGAGACATGTGCTGTGGTGACTCAAGGTTTACTGGATTTTGGGCTGTGCAGGGTGTGCTTTGTTAAACAAGTGCCTGAAGGCAGTATGCTTGTGAAAAGTCATCACCATTCTCTTAATCTCAACTACCCAGGGACACGTACACTGCCAAAAGTCACAGGGACCTCTGCCTAGGAAAGCTAGGTATTGTCCAAGGTTTCTCCCCATGTGATAGTCTGAAATATGGCCTCATGGGAAGGAGAAGACCTGATTGTCCCCCAGCCTGACACCCGTGAAGGGTCTATGCTGAGGAGGACTAGTATAAGGGGAAAGAAGGTCTCTTGGCAGTTGAGATAGAGAAAAGCATCTGTCTCCTGCCCGTCCCTGGGCAATGGAACATCTCGGTGTAAAACCGGATTGTTCTGTTTACTGAGAAAGGAGAAAACCGCCTTAGGGCTGAAGGTGGGATATGCTAGAGGCAATGCTGCTCTTTATGCACTAAAAAGGTTTATGGAGATGTTTGCATATGCATATCAAGGCACAGCACTTTTCCTTAAACTTGTTCATGTCACAGAGATCTTTATTCATATGTCTTACTGCTGACCTTCTCCCTATGATGATCCTATTATCCTGCCACTTCCCTTTTTCTAAGATGGTAAAGATAATGATCAATAAATAGTGAGGGAACTCAGAGACCTGTGCCGGCGCGGGTCCTCTGTATGCTGAACACTTCTTTCTCTATACTTTGTCTCTGTGTCTCATTTCTTTTCTCAAGTCTCTCGTTCCACCTAATGAGAAACGCCCTCAGGTGTGGAGGGGCAGGCCACCCCTTCACCTAGGAGCTCTGTTTTTCTTTTTCCTTTTTTTTTTTTTTTTAAGCCGTTTGAATTATTTTATTTTATAGTATATAAAATGTAAAAATCTACATATAGGACAGATGGTATATAGAACTCCAGCCAACAGAATACTTCTTATAGAATGCTTGATACCAGGAAAAAAAAATCCAGTCAGAAAGAACATCTTCTTGGGAGGTAATTCACCTAAAAGTAGTTGATCTTCTGAGAATTACTTTGCTTACCCTGTAGTCTGATTAATCCTTATTTGGTTTCTGCAGCTGAAAAAAAAGGAGTGCACTGAATAACTGAGATTCAAGTATCACTGCAATAGGTCTGTGTTAAGACAGTAACTATTTTCTTGAGGTTTTATCCACATTTTAGAATTAGGACGTTTTGATTCCTGCCCCCACTTCCTTTTTTTTTTTTTTCTTTTGAGACAGTTTCGCTCTTGTTGCCCAGGCTGGAGTGCAAAGTTGCGATCTCAGCTCACTGCAACCTCTGCCTCCCTGGTTCAAGTGATTCTTCTGCCTCAGCCTCCTGAGTGGTTGGAATTACGGGCGCCTACCACCACGTCTGGGTAATTTTTGTAGTTTTAGTAGAGATGGGGTTTCGCCATGTTGGGCAGCCTGGCCTCGATCTCCTGACCTCAGGTGATCTGCTCACCTTGGCCTCCCAAAGTGCTGGGGTAACAGGTGTGAGCCACCATGCCCAGCCCCTGCCCCACTCCATATTCCCTCTTTTAACTTGAATTTCTATGGATTCTAGCAGCAATGTTTATGCAAGGGAGGAATTCTGATTAATAGGGCTTGTTCCTTCTAGGCATAGCCTTTTATGTGGTGTTAGGATTTATTGACACAGATTCAAAGATAATAATCCCTAGAAAGTCCAGCTGGATTCTGGATGTCAATAGGATATAGTATGAAATGAATATGACTGGCTTGGAGTGTAGACAACATATCCATGTGTTTTATTTTGTTCTTTTTGCCAGATCCTTGGTTCACAGTGCAGTGGCGGCTTCATAGTCCTCCAGCTGCCTTTAAAACATGTAGTCCTTCATTCTGTGTGATACAAAAGAAGATAAAGTGGCTTCTCTGCTAAAGGAACAATATTGCCATATACCCATACAGTGCTCTCTGGCTTTTAGTACACATTACCCCTCATTTATCCATTTGATCCCTGCAACAACCGCATACAGAATCTTGAGAATCTCAGCATGTTGCAAATGAAGAAACAGTCTCAGAAGTTGTGACTTGCCCAATTCACTTCTATTAAGTAGAGGTTTAATGAGTTCCTTCTCTAGAGCAGGCAAAGCATGGGATGTGTTAGGGTAGAATAAAAAAATCAGGGAAATGGTTCTCTCTTGTCCACCCATTGGGAGTGAAAAAATATGGGGAAAAGAAAAGGTCCCAATGATTTGGATATCCCTTAAGAAAAGGATTTCCAGAATGTTATAAGACTGGTTTTTGGTTTTTTTTTTTTCTGTTTTTACATTATCATTTTCTTCTGGCTTCCCTCTATCCATACTAATGTTATAAGACCCTCGAAAGAAGAATGGTTAATTGTGTCATACATGGAGTGGGGATAGGAGAACAAAGGGCGGTACTGAAAGGAACTCTCAGGATAAATTTAAGATGGGCCTTTTTTTTTTTTTTTTTTTTTTTTTTTTTGAGGCAGGGTTTCACTCTGTCACTGAGGCTGGAAGTGCAGTGGCATGATCAGGGTTCACTGCTGCCTCAACCTTCCAGGCTCAAGAGATCCTTTTGCCTCAGCCCCGTGAGGAGCTGGGGCACAGGCATGTGCCACCACGCCTAGCTATTTTTTTTCTATTTTTAGTAGAAATGGGGTTTCACCATGTTGCCCAGGCTGACCTTGAACTCCTGAGCTCAAGCGATCTGCCCACCACGGCCTCTCAAAATGCTGGGATTACAGGTGTGAGCCACTGCACCTGGCCTAAGGTGGGTCCTAAGAAATGTTAATTCTTATCGTGAACAACAGAGATGGAGGTGTTCTAGGTATAGTCACAGGAATTGCAGAGTGAATGGCATGTTCCTGGGGAAGAGCAGACAGCTTCTTGATGTGGCTCGAGCCTGGGGTGAAGTGAGGTCTAATAGGAGACAGTGGATCTGAGGAGGCAGGCCGGAGATAGAAAGAAGGGCACTTGTCAAGGACTTAGTCAGTGGGCAGTCATCAGAGGTGTCTGAGCAAGACAAAGCAGTCTGGCCAGACTTGGGATTTGTAAATAATAATAATAATGCTAGGCACAGTGGCTCCCACCTGTAATCCCAGCACTTTGGGAGGCCGACGGGAGGATCACCTGAGGTCAGGAGTTCGAGACCAGCCTGGCCAACATGATGAAACCCTGTCTGTACTAAAAATACAAAAATTACCCAGGCGTGGTGGCACGTGCCTGTAGTTCCAGCTACTCAGGAGGCTGAGGCAGGAGAATCGCTTGAACCCAAGGGGCCGAGGTTGCAGTGAGCCGAGATCGTGCCACTGCACTCCAGCCTGGTGACAGAGTGTGGCTCTGTCTCAAAAAAATTTTTTTTTTAAATAATAAGAGCCTGTGGAATTGAGATGGAGAAGAATTGGAGTGAGTGAATCAACCAGTGGGAAGGGCATTTCCTAGCTCAGCTGGAATTCAGTGAGTGCAACTAACGTTAGTTTCCTCTAAGTGAATAGGGACAAAGGAAAACCAGGCTATGGGTGTGTGCTTTTTAAGCTTTTGACTGAGTGTTTTGCTTATAGAAAATGTTGACTAAAGAAAAAAGTCAAGCTTTTAAAGAATTAAAGTTCATTTTGTTCAGGAGTCTTACTGAGGACTACAGGCTGAGTATTTTAGTTCCCAGTTCATATACAGGTGGTGGAGATTCAGTACGCGCAAGATCACATCACAGTTTAGGTGTAGGAGTATATCTGGTTATAGATTACGAACGTACTTTTGGTAATAGTTTATAAAAGCCTAATCACAACCCTGTTAGATGTTATCTTATGTGTAGGAAAAGGCAAGGCTGGGGCCTTTATCATTTAAGGAATGTAATAGCTCAGGCAAGAGATGTGGGGGGCCATGTGCTCTATCCTGCTCTGTCTTCAACTCATCCCTCCCAAGAGCTGCATGTTGTCACAGAGTCAGGGGTTTTGTGACATTGTGCTGGCAAGCAGAAGTGAGCAAAGTGTGGCTTCTTACATTTGCTACTTTGTCTCGCCGCGCAGAGGGAAGGCAGAAAGAAAGGAGACAGAGGCAGGAGAGAGAACATTCTAATTTTAAAAGCTGTAAATATGAAGAGCAGGCTTTGACTTTTCATTTCTGATTAAAATCTTACGGTCAACAAATGCATTGGTGAAGCCTCACCCTTCCTCCTGCATGTTCTGCCATCTTTCTTATTAGCTAAACTAACTGGGCAAAGGAAAAACAGTGCCTTTCCTAAATTCTGGTGTGGGCTTCCTACTTCTCGTCATAATTTTTCTTGCCACCCTCATCCTTGGTCAGAGAACCAGAAATTGCTTATTTATTAATTATTTATTTATATATTTATTTATTTATTGAGACAGAGCCTCGCTCCGTCATGCCCAGGCTGGAGTGCAGTGGCATGATCTCGGCTCACTGCAACCTCCGCCTCCCAGGTTCAAGTGATTCTCCCACCTCAGTCTCCCAAGTAGCTGGGATTACAGGTGCATGTCACCACACCCAGCTAGTTGTTTTGTATTTTTTAGTAGAAATGGGGTTTCATCATATTGGCCAGGCTGGTCTTAAACTCCTGACCTCAGGTGATCCACCTGCCTTGGCCTCCTAAAGTGCTGGAATTACAGGCATGAGCCACTGTGCCCGGCCTAGAAATTGCTTTTAATAGCTGTTTTTGCTTTCCTAATGTGAAGCAGGTTCCGTGTTCCAAAAATGGCATTTGGCTGCTGCCGTAGCATGTGGTTCTAGCACATCCTGTGTCAGCATTCCATTTCTACAGTGAATATGGGAACATGCACACGATGGAAGCTGTAATGGCTTACGACCTTGTAACCTTTGCAAGTCCCTCTCCTCATCTATAAATGAGGCCAGCTAAAAATACATCCCTTATTTAATTGTTGTTAGATACCATGTAAAATGGCACTTAATAGAGATCCTGGCTCATAATGAGGGTCTAGTAAGTATTAATTGCTATAGGCATTTATATATTTTCTGCTAGATTCTAAATTAAGTACTTATTGGAACTATTATGCATTGATAATGTAACTTGACTAATGAATGTTTGTCTTTCTTTTCTTTCTTTCTTTCCTTTTTTTCTTTCTTTTTCTTTCTTTTCTTTTCTTTTTCTTTTTTTTTTTTTTTGAGACAGAGTCTCGCTCTGTCACCCAGGCTGGAGTGCAGTGGCACAATCTCGGCTCACTGCAACCCCTGACTCCTGGGTTCAAGCAATTCTCCTTCCTCAGTCTCCTGTGTAGCTGGGATTACAGACATGTGCCACCACACCTGGCTAATTTTTGTATTTTTAGTAGAGACGGGGTTTCACCATGCTGGCCAGGTGGGTCTCGAACTCCTGACCTCAAGTGATTCTCCCACCTCGGCCTCCCAAAGTGCTGGGATTACAGGTGTGAGCCACTGTGCCCAGCATGAATATTTTTCTTATGCCTTAATTGACTCCTTTCACAACATTTTCTTTTTGAGGAACCTGATCCATGTGTAGTAGAAATGTAGACCTCATGCTCCAGTCAATGTACAGCATAACCATTTGTTACAGTGCCATTAAAGGTATTTTAATGAACTCTCTCGTATCCACACCATTATTTCCTATGGTTATTAGTACATGGAAAGGGAATGGCTAGTTATGAAGCCCAAGAATTAGGGGCTTAAATCTTTCCCAAGCCATTACTGTGGAGCTGTGGGCCCATCCTCTCTGCCTTCATGCACCACCAACTGCTTAGGGACATTTCTGAGGACTTCCTAGAGTAAGAGGGAAGCCCTTCCTAAAATTTAGCTTAGAACAACAGAGTTCACTTCTCTGGCTTCCTGTGGTATGACGCTATGAGAAATGTATGGTTTATTTAAAGAGGCACAGTCTGACATGGAAAAAGACATCCTTGAAAAAGACAAAGATTGAATGATGATAGTATCTTTACATGGGAAGGGATGGAGAAAATTTTTATCGTAAATTGTACTTAGAGAGAAAAGGTAAAGAAAGGCAATCATGGTTGTAGAGAATGGATGTTGAAGAGTGCAAAAGTGTGTGTGCATGTGTGCATTTCTGTATTAATTATGAAGTTATTTGCGAAAATCCAAAGCTCTGCCTAAAGGATGGATCTAAACTGGACTCTTCTGACCATAAATATTCACTGCTGGTACAATGCCTTATATATACACAAGATGGTCAATATATGACAGTTCAGGCTTTGCCTTTGTAGTATGCTAAGTGGCCAGTCTTATCTTAAAGAAATTAAACTCGTATTGATTCCTTAAATTTCTATAGCTAGAATCTGATTTAAGGATCTGCCGTAGTTCCAGGACTTGACAAAGTTTTTTAAACTTTCTATTTTTATATGTGAATGTAGTTGTGTATCACAGTGGTAGCATTTGAAGTTCAAAAGAAGTAGATTTAGGATAAACATTACCTGTAGCAAATCTTAGGAGCTCACTGATAGAATAGGCTATAAACATTAGTAACTGTAATTGATGGATGATAAACTACCTTGGCTGTTTCAGGAGAACGTAGAATGTCAGGGGAGCATCTCTCACCTGTGTTGTTGATGACAGGAAGGAAAACTGTCTTCTCCAAACTGTCAGGTAATTGGTATTACTGTCAGAAACAGAGACCTAGACTGATTGGGCCTTGGTCTGACCCATGTGCCAACTCATGGAACTTCCTCTTCTTGAGTTTGAAGACTGGCCAGTGATTTTTGTTTTGTTTCCTATAATTGAATGTGATACCCAAAAGGAAGTGTGTCTAAATCAGCTGTTTCCTCGGTCCTGTGACTATGCAATAGAGCCCAAATTTCCTTAACCAAGGCATTTTTTGTGTTTGTTTATACACTCTAATTCTGACTTTTGCCAGCTAAAGCTAACAATTCTTTATAGGCATGGTGAGTGAATTATTTTCATGTAAGAGACTATGGTTTACTATCTAAACTATTACTAATTTCCCTTCCTTCCCCACCCCATTTATTTTAAAAGAATAATCTTTTTGAAACTGATATGCAGATAAAGTTCAAAAGAAGATGATGCTCTGATCTATTATTCCCATTTTTCCATATTGATGCTATTTTTTCTTTGAAACTTTGTTTCCATTTCTATTACTTAAAGGCTGAAAAGAAGGGAACCAGCAACACGATTATCGGTATGATCTTTGGATGTTTTGCTTTGTTCGAGTTGCTGGCATGCTTGGTATTTGGAAACTATGTAAGTATAAAGTTCATATGCACATCTTAATTTTTAAAAATTATATGATGAATTATTTTAGTTTACTAATCTAGAATTTGCATCGATACTGAAATAACCATGGTTATAATTTTATAAATTGTGCCACTGTTGACAGTTCCTTCCTCAGATTTGATTGATTTTTAACTCTTTCCATGTTTTTAAGCAATGAGCACTGTCACTATATTAAAGAATTATTATAATATATTAACTGTACATGTCTTCCCCCATCCTATATTTTCCAATACAGTGGATTTGTTTCTATCAGTATAGACTTTCAGAAGTCATAAATTTACCACTCTTCTTTGACATTTATTATAGCTTGTACATATTGGAGCAAAATTTATGTTTGTAGCAGGAATGTTTGTCTCAGGAGGAGTTACAATTCTCTTTGGGTAAGTCATTTTCTGATTATATTTGGGAGCTTGAACAGATTTTGTAATCCATCTTCTGTTTAAATTGTTAAAGGTTCTTTAAGTCAATGGTTCCATTATTGTCTGTCAAATGCATAGCATATGACTAATGGCAGAAGTTGAGTAAGTAGAGAACAGGGATAAATGGCATTGATTTTAAGGCAACAGGCCTCTGGGGGATCTCCTTGATGCTTGCTACTGAGCCTATTCATTAGGACTCCTGTGATTGTGAGTGACAGAAACTTAACTCACTTTTCTGAGTTACAGAAACGTGCTAGTTTTAGTAAAAAAGTGAATTTCTTTAATAAAGTGTCAACTCAAAAAATATCAGAATACAGATTTGAAACGATGTCATGAGAAATTTTTCCTCTTGTGATTTGAACAAGCTCTCCCCTTTAGATGGCAAGGTGACCCCTAGCAGTTTCAGTAGAAAGTGCCAGTTGCCTAGTAGTTCCTATTAGAGTCACAGAAGGAAGCCCCACTGACCTGACCTTTGCTGATGGCTGTAGCCAGGGGGAAAGAATGTTCTGCTTGACCAGGCCAGGTCACATGCTCAGTTCAGAGCATGGAATAGAATGGTTTCCCCCATTGCTACTTCCCGAAAAAGGAAAAATGAGTGCCAGTGACAAAACAGATGTGAAAGTTCTTAAGCTTAGAGTTCTTAAACCAGCAGCGTAATGCCAAATAATATGGAAGAGCTTATATAAGTACATGGGAACACAGAGGAATAACAGTATAGTAAGATTATAATGAAGTAAACTCAAGAAAACTGTTAAATGAAATGGGGTTAAAAATTTTTTGGAAGGGTCTTTTTTTTTCTTTCTTTATTCCTTTTTTTTTTTTTTAGTTTGAGTCCTACCATGGGAGAGATCTGAAACTGAGTTCTCTCTTCTATATGGGTCTTGTCAGAGTGATTCTACGTGTTATTCTTCTTTTTCTTTTTCTTTTTTTTTTTTTTTTTTTGAGACGATGTCTTGCCCTGTTTCCCAGGCTGGAGTGCAGTAGTGCGATCTCGGCTCACTGCAACCTCTGCCTCCCAGGTTCAAACGACTCTCCTGCCTCAACTTTCCAAGAAGCTGGGATTACAGGTGCTTGCCACCATGCCCAGTTAATTTTTGTATTTTTTAGTAGAGATGGGATTTCGCCATGTTGTCCAGGCTGGTCTCCAGCTCCTGACCTCGGGGCATATGCCTGCCTCGACCACTCAAAGTGCTGGAATTACAGGCATAAGTCACCACACCGATTCTACATATTCTAGAAAGGTTTATTTGGTACTATCACCTGGGGGACCAGTTATATCGCAGAACAGGGCAACTAAGCTGTTGTTATGACTCAAATTGTTACCAAAAAAAGAAAAAGGGTAATTTTCTCCTACTGAAAAGACAGCAAAGCAACTCTTTTAAAAAAAAATTGTATTCTAAAGTGATTTATTCTAATAACTATGGGTGAGGTACTACTCTTTTTAGTGAGTACAGTTAAAAAGGAAAAAAATGAAAACTAGCTTGGCATTTGAGAATTGTCTTATTCCTTTTTAGTGTATTGGACCGAGTCCCAGATGGACCAGTATTTATTGCTATGTGTTTTCTAGTGAGAGTAATGGATGCAGTTAGCTTTGCTGCAGCAGTGACTGCATCTTCTTCTATCCTGGCAAAGGCTTTTCCAAATAACGTGGCTACAGTATTGGTATGTATTTTATAAGTATTTCCCACTTTCCTTTGAGTGTAGGCCAACATATTTGCCCTTCCAAGTTAAAGCTGGGATCCATTCTTCTATACTTGCATTTCTGTACTCTCTGTATTATTGTTGCCTTTCACCCCGAGTTCGACTAGCAGCAAGCCTGTCAATAAATGTAACACTGGTGTTACTTAGGTGCTCTTCCTGGTTTTAGAATTCCCTGAATGGGCAGTTTGACAGGTAAATGTGGTCCAAATCAGTCATTCTTTTTACCACTTAAAAAAAAAAATTCCTTGGTAGTTTTTTTTGCTGTCTACCTACAGCGTAGATTGTGGTTGAGCTGCCTGAAGTATTCCTCTGCCTTAGAAAAAGAGTTATCCCTAGTGGCAAAATAATCAATTCATACTAAAGTCCTTCCTCTACTTTCCCCAGATTTATGCACGGGATCTTAGAAATCATCTCAAAGTCCTTAAGTGCTTCTGTGCTGTCTATCTGAGGATGCTTTTGCATTTTGATGTAAAATGGTGGCATCATATTGACATGTGCTTTTGTATACTGCTTAGATGCTTATAGAACTGGTATTAGTGACATATTAGATTCCCATCCCATCCATAGGCAGCTGCCTCTCTGACCCCCAAGAAGTCTTTTCTATTATAGCTCTCTCTCTCTGGGCCCATGCGCTTCTGAAAGACTCATATCAGAGTCTGTATGGTGCCCTTATAGCGTTTAATTGTTCTCTTAGACTTCAGAATCTAATCAGCTTAGTAACAAGGACTCCCTTATTTACTCATTTAATACTGTAGTTTGAAAATTTTTACTATCAGGTAAACGCTTTGCTGTGTAAATACTTATTCCCACTTTTTGTTAAGCATTTATGTATATAGCTGGATAAGTTTATGTTAGATTCTGTTGCCATTTGGCAGGTATACAATTTACATTTCCAGAAAATATATTTCTCTAGAAAGGGAGGAAAAAAAATATGTTTTTCTGAGAAAGGGCTCAGAAGAACACTAGTCTGTTGATATGCCCTATAAGATAAGGGTTTATGGCTAAGCAGGTTTGGAGAGTGCTATCTGCTGCCTCTAACTTAGAGATGCCTAGTTCACATTAATGTCTTCAGACCTTGAAAATCTTGGAGTAGGATTACTTTATTAGATGTTCTACAACGCACTTTAACTATGGAACCACTTTTTTCTATCTTTTCTTTCTTTCCTTCCTTCCTTCCTTCCTTCCTTCCTTCCTTCCTTCCTTCCTTCCTTCCCTCCCTCCCTCCCTCACTCCTTTCTTTTTCTTTCTTTCTTTCTTTCTTTCTTTCTTTCTTTCTTTCTTTCTTTCTTTCTTTCTTTCTTTCTTTCTTTTCTTTCTTTCTCTCTCTCTCTCTCTTTCTCTCTCTCTCTTTCTTTCTTTCTTTTTTTTTTTTTTTTTTTGAGATGGAGTCTAGCTCTGTCGCCCAGGCTGGAGTGCAGTGGCCGGATCTCAGCTCACTGCAAGCTCCGCCTCCCGGGTTTACGCCATTCTCCTGCCTCAGCCTCCCGAGTAGCTGGGACTACAGGCGCCCGCCACCTCGCCCGGCTAGTTTTTTGTATTTTTTAGTAGAGACGGGGTTTCACCGTGTTAGCCAGGATGGTCTCGATCTCCTGACCTCGTGATCCGTCCGTCTCGGCCTCCCAAAGTGCTGGGATTACAGGCTTGAGCCACTGCGCCCGGCCTTTTCTTTCTTTCTTTCTTTCTTTCTTTCTTTCTTTCTTTCTTTCTTTCTTTCTTTCTTTCTTTCTTTCTTTCTTTCTTTCTTTCTCTCTCTCTCTCTCTCTCTCTCTCTCTCTCTTTCTTTCTTTCTCTCTCTCTCTCTCTCTCTCTCTCTCTCTCTCTCTCTCTCTCTCTCTCTCTCTCTCTTTCTTTCTCTCTTTCTTTTTCTTTCTTTTTCTGAGACAGGGTCTTGCTGAGTTGCCCAGGCTGGTCTTCAATTCCTGGCCTCAAGCAATCCTACCACTTTGGCCTTCCAAGGTGGCTGGGATTACGAGTGTGAGCCACCACGCCTGGCTGGAACTATTTTTTCAAACAAACAAGACTTGTTGATCTCTTAAAGAGCTGGTATTCTGTGGAACACTCTGGAAAGCGCTACCTAATAAATTCCTACGATAATGATAATAGTCCATTGGATCTTCTGATCAGCAAGAGACACCAGTGTTGCTATACCAAGTTTCTGTATAAAATTGCAGCCAACAGCTAACACACTAACATGGTAATTGATCTGGATGGCCTTATTGTGATTAAAGAATTTCAGTTTCTTTTTGAAGTGTTGAAAGTTATTAATAGAATATTTTTGTGTACTCTGTAAGGTCTGAGGATATAAGGTTGCAAGCCACAGATCTCTGTTTAAGGTCCCTAAAAACTAGATTGATTTAAAATGTTACAATATCTATAGTGGTAAACCCTTTTTTTTCCATAGCATTGTTTTGTTTAACTTTAAACAAAATAATTTTATATTGTACAAAATTCGAAAGTTACAGAAGGGAACATAGAATATAGTAAATATATTCTACATATAACTGTTGCTCAGCCTTTTTATACACACCAGTTGTGCAGGTGCCCAGCCCTCCATCCCCTTAGGGAAGGCAACAGATATTGTAGGTTTCTTCCAGAGAAATTCCACATATATGTATGTACACACTGACACACACACACACACACTGAGAGAGAGAGAGAGCGCACAAGCGAGAGAGCATGATTTGCCTCCCCCTTTTTTCTTTTTATTTTTTTACTTGGACAGGACTATTGCATTATCCCTCTTTTTTCTTTACACAAATGGTAGCATACCATATGTACCATTCAGCACCTCACTGGTTACACCAACAATGAAATCATCTTGGAGATCTTCCTGTACCTACATATAAGGAACTTTCTTACTCTTTACTTTTCTTACTGGCTGTATAGTATTTCACTGTGTGGATATAACCTGGTTTACTTACATCGTTGATCAATATTTAGATTATTTTCATCTTTTGCTATTGCAAAACTCTGCTATAGTGCATAAGCTTATATACATACCATGTCACATCTGCATGTCTATACTTGTAAGTTAATTTTTTACAAGTGGAATTCTGCGTCATGAGATATGTGCCTTAATTTGCCAAATTGCCAAATTGCCTACTGGTGTTCACTTGCTAACATAGAGCATTCGATAGGAAATAGGTGAAAATTGGTATCTTGTGGTTTAAATTTGCTCATTTCATTTCTTTTAAAAAGTGAGGGTGAACTTCCAAAATATCTTTGTATTCCACTCTATGTGTCAACAGTTTATTTATAGCATTTGCCCATTTTTCTTTTCCTCATTGTAGCTCTCATGATGTATTTGGGGAATTAGTTCTTTGCCATTTTTTTCTCTGTTCTTCATTTATCTTTTGATTTTTTTTATGCATAGTTTTCATATTTTCACGTAATCAGATTTGTCAATCTTTTTTATCTTCTGGTGTTTTATGTCACAATTACAATACCTTCCCTATGATAACAATTTTTTAAATACTCCCATATTTTATTTTTCTAATAGTTTTATGATTTCAATATGTGCATTTAAATTTTGAGTCCATCTTGGGAGTGTGTGTATGTAAATTATGAAGAAGACAGAATTTCGTTTTTTTAGATAGTACCTTGTTAATTCTTCAAATGAAGTATTTAAACTGATTTTTTCTTTTTCTCATTTTAAGGGAAGTCTTGAGACATTTTCTGGACTGGGGCTAATACTAGGTCCTCCTCTAGGTGGCTTTTTATATCAGTCCTTTGGCTATGAAGTGCCCTTTATTGTTCTGGGATGCATCGTTTTGCTGATGGTACCACTGAATATGTATATTTTACCCAATTATGGTAAGTCCACACTTATGACTCATTTTAAGAACCTTAAATATATGTTTATACCTTTGTAAGGGACCAGTTTACCAGATATTGTTTTATTTTATATAATCAAAAGTAGCTTTTAAAAATAACTGATTATTTTTTCAGTAATGCAGGCAATTAGTTTATATGAATTTCTGTAAATTAAAAATTCTTTCCAACCTTTAGAGCTAGCAAATATTTAACTTCTGATCATAAACCATTACCATATGCTGTGTCTATGAGAGATTTTCTTGGACTGAACTAAATATCAAAGCCAGAAGTTTCTGTGGGCCACACATAGCCCAATGTTCCTAGAAGGCTATAAGCTAAGAGAATAATGCCCATCCTTCTTTCCCAGTGGTCCTTGCAGCTGTCTTCACAGAGTAGCTCAGATACAAGGATGTAGATTCAGGTGTTCTCTTTTAATAGTGTTTTTAAAAAATTATGAACTGGGCCGGACACAGTGGCTCATGCCTGTAATCACAGCACTTTGGGATGCTAAGGCTGGTAGATCACTTGAGGCCAAGGGTTCGAGACCAGCCTGGCCAACATGGTGAAACCCTGTGTCTACTACAAGTACAAAAATTAGCTGGGCATGGTGGTGCACACCTGTAGTCCAAGCTACTCGGGAGGCTAAGGCATGAGAATCGCTTGAACCCAGGAGGTGGAGGTTGCAGTGAGCCAAGATTGTGCCATTGCATTCCAGCCTGGGTGACAGAGTGAGACTGTGTCCGCCCCCGCAAAAAAATTATAAACTGGTATTTAAAAAAAATCTCTAGTATTGATAATATTAAGGCTGTAAATGTAGATTTAAGTATTCCCAATTAGTACTACTTTTAAAGATTGTTATTATTTGGTCAGGTACAGTGGCTCATGCCTGTAATCCCAGCACTTTGGGAGGCTGAGGCAGGTAGATCACCTGAGGTTAGGAGTTCGAGACCAGCCTGGCCAACCTGGTGAAACCCCGTCTCTACTAAAAATACAAAAATTAGCCAGGCATGGTGGTGCATGCCTGTAATCCCAGCTACTCAGGAGGCTGAGACAGGAGAATTGCTTGAACCCAGGAGGCGGAAGTTGAGTGAGCCAAGATCACGGCACTGCACTCCAGCCTGGGCAGGAGAGTGAGACTCTGTCTCAAAAAAAAAAAAAATTGTTATTGTTTTAGAAGAGTTTATAGATAGATGCTAAAAAATCAAATAAATTTTAAAAATTACTGATATTGGCAGAATTTTTTATTTTATAAGTTCTGCCCATTTCTTTACCACCTTTTAGACCCATAGACAATGTGGCTTTAGCATTGGGTGGCTAAGAATCATTCATTATATCTGCTCACCAGGTCCCCTCTCCTATACTGCTCTAAAAAAAAAAATACTTCTAAAATAGAGTCATGGACGTGTCAATTATCTTATTAAAATCTTTAAATCTAGTAAGTTTAAGAGATCTATTGTACATCATGGCGACTATAGTTAATAACAACATATTGTACACTTGAAAATTGTCAATAGTAGATTTTAAGTGTTCTTACCATTAAAAAAAAGTATGTGAGGCAAAGCATGTTAATTAGCTTCATTTAGTTATTCCACAATGTATACATATATCAAAATATAATGTTTTATACCATAAATAGAGACAATTTTTACTTATTTTTTAAAATAAAAAATCCTTAAATCCATGAAATATGAACTTTATCCTGAAAGCCATTGGGAGCTATTGTTAGATTTTTTGTTTTTTTTTGAAACGGAGTCTGTCACCCTGGCTGGAGTGTAGTGGTGTAATCTTGGCTCACTTCAAGCTCTGCCTCCTGTGATCAAGCAAATCTCATGCTTCAGCCTCTCAAGTAGCTGGGAGTACAGGTACATGCCACCACACCTGGGTAATTTTTGTATTTTTAGTAGAGATGGGGTTTCACCATGTTGGCCAGTCTAGTCTCGATCTCCTGACTTCAAGTGATCCTCCCATCTTGGTTTCTCAAAGTGCTGGGATTACAGGTGTGAGCCACTGTGCCTGGCCTATTGTTAGATTTAAGTAGAAGAGTGGAATATCTTTCTTCCACTCTACCTAACTCTTACTTATCCTGCAAAACTTGATTTTATTACCTTTTTGCAGGGCGGAGGGGTTTCTTTCTTTTTTTTTTTTTTTTTTTTTTTGTGAGACAGTCTTGCTCTGTTGCTCAGGCTGGAATACAGTGGCACAATCTTGGCTCATTGCAACCTTTGCTTCCCAGGTTCAAGCAATTCTCCTGCCTCAGCCTCCAGAGTAGCTGGGATTACAGGCCTGTGCCACCACACCTGGTTAATTTTTATATTTTTAGTAGAGACAGGGTTTCACCATGTTGGCCAGGCTGGTCTCGAACTCTTGACCTCATGATATACCCACTTCGGCCCCCCGAAGTGCTGGGATTACAGGCATGAGCCACTGTGCCCAGCCCTTTTCTGGGGAGTTTTTCTAAACCTTCTCGATCACTGGACTAGATTTGGTATAGGTAGTGCCATAGTGCTCAGCATTTTTCCTGCCCCCTCACACTTGAGGACAACCCTATTCCCCATCTCTAACAGTAACTTCCTGTGTCAGGTTTTGTCAGCCAGGGAGTCATGTCCCTTCAAGCAAGTACCCCAAGTTTTCATTACTTGGTCTTCAACAGCTTAATTATACTAATTATGTTTCATTTTCATGGATGTTTTAATGTATTCTCACTATGACAACTCCTTTTCTCACCCTAGATTTTAGGAACAGGGACTATTATGCAATAATGATTTATTTTTTACCATAAATACATAATACTTCTTACTTTCACAATAAATGTAACCAATTAAAATTGGAATCTTTTATAATTTTTATTTTAAAAGTGACTGATATCCTTAGTATATACAATTCAAAAATCACACCAACTTGTCTCCCTGCCTGCAATACCTCACTGAGCCACACAGTGGTGTTTCTCCTCTTTCTAAGTCCAACTACATCCTGCAGTTTCTGTAGTTGAGCATCAAGGATGTGCTCAGATTTATTTCACCATTGAATACTTGGTTCATAATTGAGAAACTAACACCGGCCAGGCATGGTGGCTCATGCCTGTAATCTCAGCACTTTGGAAGGCCAAGGTGGATGGGTCCGGGGGTCAGGAGTTCGAGACCAGCCTGACCAACATGGTGAAACCCCGTCTCTACTAAAAATACAAAAATTAGCCAGGCATGTTGCGTGCACCTGTAATCCCAGCTACTCAGGAGGCTGAGGCTCAGGAGAATTGCTTGAATTCAGGAGGTGGAGGTTGCAGTGAGCCGAGATCGCGTCACTGCGCTCCAGCCTGGGTGACAGAGTGAGACTCTGTCTCAAAAAAAAAACACACACACACACACACACACACACAAACAAAAAAACAAAAAACAAAAACAAACAAAAACTAACACCAAGGTTTCACTTTATCTCTTATATCCTGAAAAAAATCTAAGGATAACACTTAAAATAGTTGAACCACACTTCATGATGTTTTTGCACTTTGCTCCATATTTGATCGTGATTCAACAAGTATTTATAGACTAATGAACTGTACAGGATATTGTGGGAGAAATGGGGATAAATGAAGGCTGTCATGGCCATCAAAGTGTTTCCACATCCACAAGTGGGAGGCTGAGGTGGGAGGATCGCTTTAGGCCAAAAATTTGCGAACAGTCTGGGCAACGTAGGGAGACCCCATCTCTAAAATTTTTTAAATTAGCTGGGTGAGGTAGTGCACATCTGTAGTCCCAGCTACTTGGGAAGCTGAGGCAGGAGGATCACTTGAGTGCAGGAGTTGGAGGCTGCAGTGAACTATAAGAACACCATTGCACTCCAGCCTGGGTGACAGAGCAATACACACCATCTCTTAAAAAAAAAAAAAAGCTTTCATGTCTGATATGAGTTTGCTATATCCCCACCCGAATCTCGCCTTGAATTGTAATAATCCCCACATGTCAAAGGTGGGGCCAGGTGGAGGTAATTAAATCATGGGGGTGGTTTCCCCCATACTGTTCTCATGGTGGTGAATAAGTCTCACAAGATCTGATATTTTTATAGATGGGAGTTCCCCTGCACAAGCTCTCTTGCCTGCAGCCATGTAAGGTGTCCCTTTACTCTTCCTTCATCTTCCACCATGATTGTGAGGCTTCCCCAGCCATGTGGAACTTTGAGTTTCTTAAACCTCTTTCCTTTATAAATTACCCAGCCTCAGGCATGTCTTTATTAGCAGTGTGAGAACAGATTAACACAATGTCTAAACCTGATATTATCTCTGGCCAGGATGAGTATAATAGTTACAACCTGTAACCTAAGACTCCTTCTTTCCCTCACACTCTGATTCCAGTTGATTCTTTCTAATTTGGGAAATTGTTTTTGATAAATTGAATGTGGCCTCTAGGTTTGAATAATTTATATGCAAGTGTAGATTGTATACAATTTTAGGCAAATTCAGAGGTTGAGTTGTGTTGATTACCAGATAAAGATGGTCTGACCAGTTTTCCAAATAAGTTAAAATTAAGAGATTTTAATTGCTTTGAATTTTTTTTTTTTCTTTTTTCTCCAAAGAGTCTGATCCAGGTGAACACTCATTCTGGAAACTGATTGCTTTACCCAAAGTTGGCCTTATAGCCTTTGTCATCAACTCACTCAGCTCATGTTTTGGCTTCCTTGATCCTACTCTGTCTCTCTTTGTTTTGGAGAAGGTAAGTTGCCTGATTGCTGAAGAGTGCTGCATTGTAGCAGGTGGATGTATGTAACTGCTTGTTCTTGGGCCCTGCTCTGTGGAAAGACCCTTGCGTGGCTGGGAGAAGGAGGCAGAGTGGGCACTACACACCGAGGTAGCCTGTCTGTCTCTGCTGTGCCTGTGAACTAGGGATCTAATTCAGTAAAAATGAAAGAAGTCTTTCACTAAGTGGCCAAAACATTAGTTTCCTTCTTTCTAAGACCTTGCTCATGTCATTGTAGGTCTAGCTTGGACATCATCCATGCTGCTTAACAAGGAGACTTTTCCTCTGTTTGTTTGAATTGCAGTGAGACATTAGGGGTACAGAGTAGCTCATTTGATGTAAGATGTGCTTCTTCTGTAACAGATCCCCCCTGGGTCTACTGACTTTTTAGGCTACTTTGTATAATCAGATGACTATGGACTGTATTATTCTGGGATTTGAGAAAGGAACCAAGTATCCCTAGAACTAAAAAATAAAATGTTGAATTCTAAAAGTTTGAAGTCATCGAAATTTGTTCTTAGATATTTTTGAAAAAATATTATTACTGACACAGTCCATTACAAGGTGTGGTAGTTAATTACACTGGACAATTAATATGTGTTGATAAAAGGCAAAAATGACTAACTTCGGCCCATAATGACTTTGAGGTACTGGATTTAAGATAGCACAGAAACTTAAGTTTCAATATACTTTCTAATATCAATAAAGTTGCTAATATGGTCATTTCAAATGCTTTCTGAACATTTACTGATCATAGAATGTAAAGATTAAAATTAATTTTTCTTATAATTTTACACTACCCCTTGAAATCACTGAAGACAGTTTGGGGAACTTCACAGGTAAACATGGAGACTGTTATTTTAGTGCCTGGTCCAAGATTTAGACAGTAATATAATACTGCCTTTAGCCAGTGAGTACCGTAAGTTACCCAATGTCAGGCCTCTGAGCCCAAGCTAAGCCATCATAACCCCTGTGACCTGCATGTATACATCCAGATGACCTGGAGCAACTGAAGAACCATAAAAGATGACATTTTACCATTGTGATTTGTTCCTGCCCCTCCCCAACTGATCAATCGACCTTGTGACATTCCTCCCCTGGGCAATGAGTTTTATGATCTCCCCACCCTGCACCTTGTGACCTCAGCCCCTGCCCGTAAGAGATAACCACTTTTAACTGTAATTTTCCACTAGTTACCCAAATCCTATCAAACCGCCCCACCCCATCTCACTTTGCTGACTCCTTTTTCAGACTCAGTCTGTCTGCACCCAGGTGATTAAAAAGCTTTATTGCTGACACAAAGCCTGTTTGGTGGTCTCTTCACACGGATACGTGTGACGCCCATAAGAAAAATGTTTTGTGATTATACTGACACAGTCCATTTAGATCGTCAACAACCTATATTTTTCAGCTGTTTTTCTGTGCTTTTAAGAAGTTGTGTCTAAACAATGAAAAAAAATCTATAACTAATCTCTGGGAAATCTAACTTGTTTGTGTATATCTTATAAGAAATCTTTTTTGTTGTTGTTTCTCAAGAAAATGTAATTTATTTTAAAAAGATGAGGAAGACAGGAGGTTTCCTCGAAGATAACTATAATCGACCCATTTGTGGTATGGGAGGTAGTATAGGCCCTTCTTGTTTCTGGCTGATGATGGACTATATCAGAACTTTTTTTTTGCTTTTGAGACAGAGTCTCGCTGTGTCACCCAAGCTGGAGTATAGTGGCATGATCTCGGCTCACCGTAGCCTCTGCCTCCCAAGTTCAAGCGATTCTCCTGCCTCAGCCTCCTGAGTAGCTGGGATTACAGGCATGTGCCACCACAGCAGGCTAATTTTTGTATTTTTTAGCAGAGATGGGGTTTCATCATGTTGGCCAGGCTTGTCTCAAACTCCTGACCTGAAGTGATCCACCTGCCTCAATCTCCCTAAATGCTGGGATTACAGGCATGCGCCACCACACCCAGTTTTATATCAGACATTGACTCCCTCAGGGCTATTGGTGGTGCCTCACCACTGCTGCCCCCTTTTCAGTTTGAAGTGCTGTGGCCCATCCCATTACCCAACTCCAACCTAAGAAATCTTTAGAAATTTATTTTCCTCTTTTTCTGAATCAGAAACCCTATGGTTGGAATCCAAGAATCTCTTTTAGCAAGTTCTCCAGGTAATTTTTATGCACATTGAAGTTTGCAAAACATTAATTTACATATAAAAATGCTCTGAGTTATGGAAGCAAAGTATGTTTAATGCCAAAGGCTACAAAGCAAAAAATCTACTCTTCTGACTTCTGGTTAGGTTGTCCTCCCGTAGAGAAAAAGTAACGCATTTTCAAAGGTAAGATGAAAATTAGGACAGTGCAGAATATTATTAGTAGACTTATGGTAATAACAAGAGCTAAAGAAATGGTAGAAGGAAAAGAGGGATGTTTACTTAAAAATGACTTAATTATGTAACTTTAATATAGGATTTCTTTTACAGTTTAATTTACCAGCTGGATATGTGGGACTAGTATTCCTGGGTCTGGCACTGTCGTATGCCATCTCTTCACCGCTATTTGGTCTCCTAAGTGATAAAATGCCAGTACGTACACTTAATTTATACTTGAGTCACTTTTGCATGTTTAGAGCAGTGGTTTTCCAATTGTTCCTTTGGAACTCTAGGGGTCCACTGGTTAGACTTGATATATTCAATTGGACTAGGGAGAGGTTGCAGTATCTTCTATCACCCTAAGGGTCAGCTATCACACTAAACCAATTCACTTTAAATTGCTTCACTTGGGAAAAGAGGAAGAGTCTTATGCTTAAAAAAAAAAATTGGATTAGACTTTCTTTTTCTAATTTCTTCCCCCAACATTGTCATCCAGACTGGAGGGCAGTGGCGCGATCATAGCTTACTGCAGCCTTGAACTCTTGGTCTCAAGTGATCCTCCTGCATCAGCCTCCTAGGTAGCAGGGATTATAGGCATGTGCCACCACATCCAGCTCCTGGATTAGACTCTCCAAAGGAAAAAACTCTCTTGATGTAAAAAAAATGGATTGATCTTAATAAATAGGGCAAAGTCTTAGACAGACTTGATCGAATTGAGAGATTTCTTCTTTAGGAGGAGATAATTTAGATTTTCTGTGTGAGTGAAAAAATTGACCACACAAATATGCACTGGTTATCTCATAGCCTTTCTGTTTAAAAAAAAAAATACCCTTCTGTTCTCTTTCAACCAGGTTTAAACCATTCAGTACAGATGATGAGAGCACTGCTAGTCAAATCTTAAACTTCTGTGATTTTAGGGCTTATATTTTGCATTTCCCTTCATTTCATTTGCATATTTATTTATCAAGAACTGATTTACTTGTGGAATACTTAGTAACCCAGATGTCAAAAAGCAAGTATCTTAAACAGTGTTTGGAGCTTGGTTTTCAGATATAATCTTACATAACTGAGCAGATATGGTACCCCTGTAATTTTTGTCCTGATTCAAGTAGTTTATAAGGGATAATTTTACTGGATACAATCTTAGTCCATTCAGGATACTGTAACAAAATACCATAAACTGAGAGGATTTATAAACAATAGAAATTTATTTCTCACAATTGTGGAGACCAAAATGTCCAAGATTAAGGCACTGGTAGATCTGATGTCTGATGAGGGCCTGTTGCCTGGCGCACAGATTGTCTTCTTTCACTGTAACCTCACCACGATGGAACAGGCAAGGGAGCTCTCTGTGGCCTCTTGTATAGAGATACTAATCCTATTCATGAAGGCTACACCTTCATTACCTAATCACCTCCCAAAGGCTCACCTCCAGATACCAGCACATTGGTGTTAAGATTTAATGTATAAATTTTGGGGGGATATAAGCATTCAGTCTCTAGCAGGTAATTTAATGATGTGATTTTTCTAGGTATTGTAACTATTAATACCTGGTAGGGGTTTTTTTGTAGTCACTGGTTTTTTTTTTTTGGACAGAATCTTGCTCTGTTGCCCAGAATGGAGTATAGTGGTATGATCTTGGCTCACTGCAATCTCCGCCTCCCAGGTTCAAGCAATTTTCCTGCCTCAGCCTCCTGAGTAGCTGGGATTACAGATGTCTACCACCACACCTGGCTAATTTTTGTGCTTTTTTAGTAGAGACTGGGTTTTACCATGTTGGCTAGGCTGGTCTCAAACTTGTGAGCTCAAGCAATATTCCGACATCGGCCTCCCAGACTGTTGGGATTATAGATGTGAGCCACCGCGCCTGGCTGGTCATTGCATTTTAGAGTTAGTTTTTTTGTTGTTATATTTGTAATAGTTCATCAAGTGCAAAATCTGATCTGCAATACACTCCCCTGCTAAGAAATCTTTGTCCTTTGTTCACTTTCTGTCTTGTTATATATCGTCCTTGCTTGCGAGTTTATCATCTCCTTATTTTCTCACTGCTGTAATCCCAGCACTTTGGGAGGTCAAGGCAGGCGGATCACGAGGTCAGGAGATTGAGACCATCCTGGCTAACATGGTAAAACCCCGTCTCTACTAAAAAAATACAAAAAAAATTAGCCAAGCGTTGTGGCGGGCACCTGTAGTCCCAGCTACCCCGGAGGCTGAGTCAGGAGAATGTCGTGAACCCGGGAGGCGGAGCTTGCAATGAGCCGAGATCGCGCCACTGCACTCCAGCCTGGGTGACAAAGCAAGACTCCGTCTCAAAAACATAAAAAATAAAATAAAAAATAAATAAATAATAAATAAATAAATGTAAAGTTTTGTTTTCTTCATTGTATTTGGGTTTTTTAATATCATGATTTGTGTTTTTTACTAATGTTTTATATTGTTTGATTATGGAGGGTCTTTGGCTCTAAGACTCATTTTGACTCTCTTTCTCCTTATCAGCCTCTAAGGAAATGGCTTCTGGTGTTTGGCAATTTAATCACAGCTGGGTGCTACATACTCTTAGGGCCTGTCCCAGTCTTGCATATTAAAAGGTAGTTTTTTTTCTTCTGTATGTTTGGCTAAATAACATTAGGAATTATTTCAAAAAATTTTGTTTTAACACTGGTATAGGTTAGTATTTGGAACATTAATATTTAAATAATTAACTGTAGTACTCTATTGAATTGTTAGGCTGACAATATTTTACCCTACTAGAAGCTAGCAGTGGGAGAAGCAGAAAAAAAATGCATAAAATCTGTCTCAAATGACAAAAATGCATATTCTCCTGTATTTCAATTGTACCTACTTGTTTATACTTTATTTTTTAAATAGATTTTGTTGCTACTTACCTTTACTTGATAGTTCTTAGAATATATTTTTGTTTTTTTCTATTCTTTTTCCTTGAGGCAGGGACCAAATCTGTTTTTGTTTCTGTATCATCCTTAGCATGTAGTAGCTGCCTATTAAACCTTGCTTAATGTAATTACAACTAAATTGCTTAATGTAATTTAGTTGCTAAAATAAACTGAACTTCTTAGACCTTTTCAGGTACTTCTGGGATAAAACATAGTAATATGGAAAGGAAGGGGTTTCAGAGTCCTTCAGACTTGAGTTTAGGTTTTGGCTTTGCCATGTACTAGTAAGCAAACCACTTAACTTCCAAGAGCCTCAGTTTTCTCATCTACAAAAAGGAGCTGATAATAGTACTTACATTACAAGGATTAAATCTGGTAACATATATTAAGTAACTGGCATAGTCTCCTCATATGGAACAAATGTGTTTCCTGACTCTTCTTTTACCTCTTTCCTTCTATGCCATTTTTAAATTAATTGAAGTTCAAAGCCAAGTGATTGAAAGAAGAGTATTAGTACTGACATTTTCACTAATTTTGAAGGGATTTTGTCTGGTGAGAAGAAGCCAGGTTGGCTCCAGACATGTGATATATATAACCAAAGGACCAAAAAGATGGAGATATCAGGATGAATTCCCCCCAGCCCCCACAAATACTGTAAGGAGCTAAAAGGCACTCCAACTGAATGAAATGGGTTAGATGGGAATGGGAATGAGACTAGGCACATAATCAGTGAAAATAATGTATCTGGGATCCTCACTTCCTTAGCATTAAGCTTTGTGTTTCTTAAAATGCTAATGTTTTTCTTTTTGTATTTGTTTTCTCCAAAACCCTTTTGCAGTCAGCTTTGGCTGCTGGTGCTGATACTAGTTGTAAATGGCATCTCTGCCGGAATGAGTATAATTCCAACTTTCCCGGAAATTCTCAGTTGTGCACAGTAAGTTACTTCCATTGCTTGAAGAGCTGTATTGTGAATAAGTAGTAAGTATCACAGGCTTTCTTGAATTTCTCAATTTTGCAGCATGTTGGATATTTTTGCCCCAATGTCAAATCTTCATGATTCTGTAGCATATGATATCATGATATAAATAGTAATAATATGCTAATAGAAATGATAATAGTACATTAATAGCTAAAATGGGTTGTGGACAGATATCTGGCTTGATGTATGCCTCAGTATGTATGTAATTTTGAAAAGCTAAAGCAAAATAGATAGGTCTCAGCATTGTTCCTCTTTCATGGAGGGGGTCCATGAGAGAGCCTAGAGTGACCAGCATGTGTCACCTGGTCATCGTTCTTTTGTTTAATAGGTGTGATGATGAAGAACACTAAGTACTATGGCTGTGCTGGGTCAGTTCAATAGTTCTCATGGGAATAAGGAGCTATCTCGGTTTTTTTAAAGTTGTCTTTGTTCTCTTTCCATCTTCATCTCATTTTAAGAATTTCTTAATTGTATATTTTTATAAGTATTTAATGCAAACAAGCCATGCTTCTTAATATCATATATATGTAGAAAAATTATTTCTAGAAAACCATGGAGTAAATGTAACTATGAAAATTCTTTTAAATTAGATTTGCTTTTTATCTTAGAAGTGGAGTGTTCTTGCTGTTGGTTTTTTCCAGATTATCCTTGGTTTATCTTAATTGATCTATCATACAATTTTTCTTTCACACAGGTTTTCCTTTTAATAATGGATACACTCATGTCTCTTTTTGCAGTGAAAATGGGTTTGAAGAGGGATTAAGTACATTGGGACTTGTATCAGGTCTTTTCAGTGCAATGTGGTCAATCGGGTGAGTAGTCATTTAATTTCTTTCTTTCTTTTTTTTTTTTTTTTTTTTGAGATAGAGTTTCACTCTCATCACCCAGGCTGGAGTGCAATGGTACGATCTTGGCTCACTGCAACCTCCGCCTCCTGGGTTCAAGAGATTCTTCTGACTCAGCATCCTGAGTAGCTCAGATTACAGGTGCCCGCCACCACATCTGGCTAATTTTTGTATTTTTAGTAGAGACAGGGTTTCAACATGTTGGCCAGGCTGGTCTTGAACTCCTGACCTCAGGTGATCTGCCTGCCTTGGCCTCCCAAAGTGCTGGGATTACAGGCATGAGCCACTGTGCCCAGCATCATTTAATTCATTCATACTTGCAAGATGGAAAATATTAATACTATCCCTATTTTAGTTGATGAAGAAATTGAAACACTGAGAGATCAGATGAGTTTCTCAAAGACAAACAGTTCCTCTAGGGGAAAGCCAGAGTTCTAATCCATACCCTGTCACTCAACAATCAATGCGTATACCAACAGTTTAATACTTAGTCAAAATGCTTTCATATACTTTATCTTATTTAAGTGATATTTATAAGTTCCTTTAATAGAAACATGTCTCTGATTTTTACAGTTTATTCATTTATTCATTCATTTGTTTATTTTTACCTTCTACCAGAAGGGTAACTATGCTAACCAATGTAATATATTGTTTTGAATTGAGTTATATTAGTTGCAAATACTGAGAATAGAATAATATAAAGAATTTTTTAAACCAGTTTCATCTTTTTTATTTTTATATAAGCCATCTACTTTTCAGAAGCAGTAATAATTTCACAATTGTTAAAAAATTTTGAATGTCATTATCAGGTAGAATTATTTTCTTTTACTGAATACTGTGTCCAGGAATTAGTTTTTTCTTTGGTACTTATCTTCCAATTTTATGAATACTTACAATTGAAGGATCATGTAGCTTTTTATGAAGTAATTATTTATTTTTTGCACTACTGAATACTTTTTCTTCTTTCTGTTGTTAGTGCTTTTTTAGGACCAACGCTAGGTGGATTTCTGTATGAGAAAATTGGTTTTGAATGGGCAGCAGCTATACAAGGTCTATGGGCTCTGATAAGTGTGAGTAATCAGTCTTTTATTTTCATTTTCCTTATATTTGTGGAAAAACTTGACTTGGAAAATTCACATTAATCAGTACTTTTAATTGTATTTAAGGGATTAGCCATGGGCTTGTTTTATCTACTGGAGTATTCAAGGAGAAGAAGGTATGGTCAATTTGGGGGCTTTTTTCTCTCTTTAAAAGTTAGCCAGTGCAAGTGGAAAATAAATAACATTTTACATTTATTCTTCCAGTCCGTGGATTTCTAGGCATTCTGAGGCTTATCAGTTGGTAGATATTCTTTTAATTTTTATTTTTTGAGATGTTGACTTGCTCTGTCACCCAGACTGGCATGCAGTGACACAATCTCAGCTCACTGCAACCTCTGTCTCCTGGGTTCAAGCAGTTCTCCTGCCTCAGCCTCCTGCGTAGCTGAGATTACAGGCGTGGGCCACTATGCCCTGTTAATTTTTGTATTTTTAGTAGAGACAGGATTTCACCATGTTGGCCAGGCTGGTCTCAAACTACTGACCTCAAGTGATCTGCCCACCTTGGCCTCCCAAAATGCTAGGATTACAGGCGTGAGCCACTGCGCCCAGGCAGTAGATACTTTTTTAAAAAGATAGTTGGATGGAGATACAGGTACTGGTTTTATGTTTGTTTGTTTGTTTTTAAGATGAGAAATATTGATATTCATCTCTTTCCTTCAATGTAGGTCTAAATCTCAAAACATCCTCAGCACAGAGGAGGAACGAACTACTCTCTTGCCTAATGAAACCTAGTCTGATGGATCCTGGATTGATACAAGGTTGAGAAATAAATGCTTCTGGCCTTAAACATCACTGTAGGAAGGGTTTCTAAAATTTTACGCACAAAACTCCGTGGACCCCATGCCAGTGTCTTGGAAGTGTCAACGTGTTTTTGGATGATCTTGTATTGGGGTTGTACTTACTGTGATACTGAAAAGCAGTCCTGCTGAACTAGCTATATTTGAAATATTAAGTATGAAAAGGGTAATTAAAAACAAGCAAAACAAAACAAAACAAAACTTAGTTTTTAAGTGACCAAACTTGTCCTTGAAGATGTTGTTATTAACTTGAGTTAGTTCTCATTTCCTCTGTTTATTTTTTAGTCTGAGTACACTAATTCTGTGAATGTACTTTTTTATGAACAGGGAAATAAATGAACTAATTTGATATGCTCTAAATGTATAAAGGTGCTTCAAAATATATAGAAACATTACTATGAAATCAGTTTTTAAAAGATATACTTTCTCTTTGTCCTGAGGTTTTTCAGTCTTGTTCAAAAGGAAGAATTCTTGCCTGCCATACAGAAACTCTCTAGCACTCCCTGGCTTTAAGCTTTTCTAAAAATTCTGTTTGTGGGCCGGGCGCGGTGGCTCAAGTCTGTAATCCCAGCACTTTGGGAGGCCGAGACGGGCGGATCACGAGGTCAGGAGATCGAGACCATCCTGGCGAACACGGTGAAACCCCGTCTCTACTAAAAATACAAAAAACTAGCCGGGCGAGGTGGCGGGCGCCTGTAGTCCCAGCTACTCCGGAGGCTGAGGCAGGAGAATGGCGTAAACCCGGGAGGCGGAGCTTGCAGTGAGCTGAGATCCGGCCACTGCACTCCAGCCTGGGCGACAGAGCCAGACTCTGTCTCAAAAAAAAAAAAAAAAAAAAAAAAAATTCTGTTTGTGTGAAAAGTACAAGAATAACAATACTTACAACTTCCATTTTTGTAACTTACGTTCACTTATGATCTGGATTTATAAACATTCCTTGGTATAACGTTGTTCGTTTCCTTTAATGTCTCTGTTTTTTGGTTCTGCCATCTGTTTTGTTTTTGTTTTTATCCATATTCTTGGTAGATGTATTTCATCCCTAGAGCAGGTCAGCCTCCTTCCCCTAATGCAAATGCTTGTTTTATTAGGGAAGGGCTTCCTCCAACTTCGTGTGAAATCCGTGATGTTGTTAAAGTGAATAAATGTCTATTGTGTAACTCTCATGCTTCTTGACCTATTTTCATGGTGTAGTAGCCACATTTACAGTAATGTTTTAAAAGAAGAAATGGTTTTATGTATTCATTCAAAAATATCTTTTGAATGTCTTCTCTGGGCTGACACTGTGCCAGATGCTAGGGATTTGGCTGTGATCAAGATAAACACAATTTCTGCTTTTATGTAACTTATACTGGTGAAAGAAACAAACAACAAGTAAATATCAGACTCTCCAGTTATCTTACAGAAATGCTAGGAAGAAAAAAAAAAAAAACATGGTGATGTGATAGAGTGGTTGGCTAGGGTTGTTTAGATGTGGGTGCCTAATTTGAAAAAGTCCATGGAAGTGCAACCTTTGAGTTGAGATCTGAAGGAGGAGAATGTAGCCACCATTCATTCATTCTGACAGAGGACAGTCCGTAGTATGTGCACAAGGGCTTGACATGGTCAAAGATGAGGCTTGGTCTGCTGGCTGGAGTCTAGTAAACTGGAGGTGATGCCAGAATCTGATTCTGTCTGCATGTGGACAGTGAGTGGGTGGGGATAGGGATGGTAAATGGGAATGGAGGGGGAACCTCGGAAGATTTGAGAGAGACAATGGTTTGGACCAGGGAGTTGGTGATGGAGAGAAAAGGCTCTATCTGGGAGTGGAACCAACAGAACGTGCTGATGTGGAGGGAGGAGAGAGGAATCTAGGAGGACTCCTAGGTTTTGGCTTGAGGGTGTGGGTGGATGGTGGTGACTCTTAGTGAATTGGGGAAGAAGAGGAGCAAAATGGATCCTGAAGTGGCAAAAGTTCAAGCCGCCATGGTTTGTCATTGCACACCACCAAAACCAAAAATATGGAAAAGGAGGACAATACCAAGGGTTGGAGAGGATGGCTTTGGAAGACTGCCTGGCATTGAGTGTCAAGACTGTATGTACATCTGTCTTGTGATCTCTTCATTTCCCTGTCCGCTCAAGCCTTTCATTCTTGAACCTGCAGAGGGTGATCCAATGTGAGGAGGACAAATGGCCTGCAGTTCCCTTCCCAGAGCAGTGCCAGGACAGAATGTGACCCTGGCCCCCTGCACCGGCTTTCTGGGGAGAGAACTTTCATTCCCATTCCCAATAGGCTGCTCTCAATACTTCTTTTGGATAGCATTGTATTTAAAGATGCTATGTACAAAACCAAATTTACCCCTTTCTCATTTTAAAATTTTGCAAGTATTAAGATAAGTGGGCCAGGAGCAGTGGCTCACGCCTGTAATCCCAGCACTTTGGGAGGGCAAGGTGGATGGAACACGAGGTCAAGATATCGAGACTATCCTGGTGAAACCCCATCTCTACTAAAAATACAAAAGTTAGCTGGGCATGCCTTTTAGTGGTGCACGCCTGTTGTCCCAGCTACTTGGGAGGCCGAGGCAGGAGAATTGCTTGAACCCAGGAGGCAGAGGTTGCAGTGAACTGAGATCACACCACTGCACTCCAGCCTGGTGACAGAGCAAGACTCCGTCTTAAAAAAAAAGAAAAGATAAGTGACAGAAAAGTTTAAAAATATGAGAAAAGACAGAGGAAACAACACTTTGAACAAGGAAACCAAAAGGTAGGTCAATACTATCAAGGGAAATCTCTGTGTATGTGTTTATATTTTTATATATTTATAGTCTTCTAAATGTAATGAGACTGAGTAGCTTAAAAGAACCTTTTTAATAATGAGAATATTTTATATAACCAAATGTGGAATATGTTAGTAATAAAAGGTATCTTTTATGTTAAGATCATATTGTAAACTATACATTATAATATGATACGTAAATCAATCCAAAGGAAAACTATAAAGGATAAATACAAATCACAGATCGTTTTTAAAAATTAAACTTTAACAATTTTGAAATAATTGTTAATTCACGTGCAGTTGTAAGAAATAATAGAAAAATATCATGAGTATTCTTTCCCCAGTTTTCACCAATGGTAACATCTTGCAGAACTATAGTACAATAGCACAACCAGGATACAGAACATTCCCATCATCATATTCTTCGTGTTGCCTTTTTGTAGCCACATCCACTTCCCTCCCATCTTCACTTCTGGCAGCCACTAATTGATTCTCCATTTCTATCATCTGGTCATTTTAAGAAACGTATAAATTAAATCGTATTGTATGAAACTTTTTGGATTGACTTTTTTCAGTCAGCATAATGCCCTTGATTCTATTGGCATTGTTGCATGTATCAATAGTTCAGTTCTTTAAATTGCTGAGTGGTATTCCATTGGGTGGCTATATGACACAATGGAATACTACTTTATTTGTTACAAATAAAGCTGCTATGAACATTTAGAAACAGGTTTTTTGGGTTTTTTTTTGCCAGGGGCTAGGGTAGAGGGTGGGGTACCAAGCATAAGACTTCATTTCTCACCAGGCGTGGTGGCTCACGCCTGTAATCCCAGCACTTTAGGAGGCTGAGGTGGGCAGATCATGAGATCAGGAGATCGAGACCATCCTGGCTACCACGACGAAGCCCTCTCTCTACTAAAAATACAAACATTAGCCAGGCGTGGTAGAGGGTACCTGTAGTCCCAGCTACTTGGGAGGCTGAGGCAGGAGCATGGCGTGAAGCCGGGAGGCGGAGGTTGCAGTGAGCCTAGATCGCGCCACTGCACTCCAGCCTGGGCGATAGCGAGAGATTCTGTCTCAAAAAAAAAAAAAAAAAAAAAAAAGACTTCGTTTCCCTGGAATAAATGCCCAGCAATACAACTACTGGGTTGCATGATAACTGCATGATTAGTTTGTTTGTTTTCAACTAATTTATTTTAGACAAGAAACTTGATTTTGACAATAAATATTAAATATCATACATTAATTAAATATCTGACTGGGCATGGTGGCTCATGCCTGTAATCCCAGCACTTTGGGAGGCCGAGGTGGGCGGATCACCCGAGGTTAGGAGTTCAGGAACAGCCTGGCAAACATTGTGAAACTCCGTCTCTACAAAAAATACAAAAATTAGCCTGGCATGGTGGCACACACCTGTAATCCCAGCTACTCAGGAGGCTGAGGCTAGAGAATCACTTGAACCTGGGAGAAGGAGGTTCCAGTGAGCCGGAGATCATACCACTATACTCCAGCCTGGGCGACAGAGCAAGACTCTGTCTCAAAAAAAAAAAAAAAAAAATCCTATTTACTTATTTTTTAATGATCAAGATTTAAATATGTCACAGATACCCTCTCTAACCTAGCTGGAAAAGATGTGGGTAATAAATTCTTACATAGCCAATTAATTTTCATTAAGTGCAATTAATAATTGAGAAATATCTCTATACATTCATATCAGAAGGAAATTATCCACAGGGTAGTCCCATGATACTCACCTTTTCTTTGGTATCACTGTCACATGACCCTGTTTTATGAAACAAACCCACAGGAGGGGGAGGCTCAGACACAACATATTTACATGGAGAAGCTAAAATGTTATTTAAAGTATTAACAAAGGAAACTAAAGTCTGCGCAGCCAGTCTCCGTTGAGAGCAGCTTGCAACTCCTAAATATTTGCACTAGTTTCTTTCAGAAAACCTACAGCCAGACTTCTAATCCCAGCTTACTTATAGTTGAGTATTACAAGGGACCATCTAGGAAAACATGATGTCATAACAAATTTTGACTTGTAGTTCAGTGCAACTTTATCATCAGTACTAAAACAATTCAGAGTGTATTTCATGTTGACAAAAGGTCAACAATAGCATGCCAGACACAAAAAGCAGTATATCATTTGCAAGTGTTTATCAGTCAAGACAAAAATTGAATACCAAACCAGTCAATTAACCTTATTGTAAATTTAAAAAATGACAGCTATGAAATCAGTTGTTGCATAAATACAGGTAGGTTTCTTTTTTTTCTTTTAAGAGAATTAAAACCAGTGTAGATAAATTTTTCGTTTGAGAATAGTACTAATACCTTTTCTTCTCCGTATATTTTCAGAACTTTTAGCTATGCTTTTTCTTCTATTGTTTTCTGTTCTATCATCATATTTATTGGTTGGCTTTTGTCTCTTTCATTTTACTTATCTGATAAAAATGCGAATGGCTTGGTTGTTCGTGTCTTGGTTGTTAGTGAGGTGGGTCCAGCCTGTAGTTCTGGAACACGGTTTAGTGAGGGAGACAGGGATGTGAATTAGGAAGTAGGCAATCATATGCAGTAGGAGAACTACGGCATTGAATTGT